ACAAATATTGATGTTCATGACAAGTGAATGTTTACTGATGCTTATAAAATGATGACATCATGTATGTCCTTTTATTGTTCATCTGTATTTGAACTTTCTGCCCCTCGTGATCTACGTTTATGCACGTTATTTGGGGCAGCAGACAAAAACTTTGTGATGACACTAAATGGTTTTAAAGTGGAAAAAACATGAAAGACAGGTGATGCTGCCATAACTTCTCAATGTGAGGCATCATCCGTTGGAAGAAAGATCCTTTTTGAGTGTGCATTAAACATTGAATTGTAAAAGGTTTCCATCCAGTAGCATGGTTTTACAGTCCTTATATGTACTTTCTGTATATATCTTTCATATAATGTATAATATAACTTCAGAGACTTACAAAAACTTCAGAATGGATGAAGAGTTATGTGTTTATCAAATCTACAATTACTCTAAACACACACTAAGCAAATTGATGAGGATGCAGTAAGGATGAGCTGGAGGTTTAAACTAGGTCTTGTGGGCTGTTCTGCAATAAAGATGAGGTGGGTTCGGAGATGGGTTCATTCACACCTGCAATAATGATTTCCTGAAGCAGGCTGGGATAATAATAATAATAAACAAAGATATTAAGGTATGAGAGGACGATAGATAGTGCTGTCAAGGGATGAATGCTACATTTTTTTTGCAGTCCTTAAATTTAGTGGTTATGATAGTGGCAGGAAATAAGTTTCAGGAAGGATCCTGACTGACACATCATGCTAAGGGAGGAGTAGACTGACAGAACTGCAGAAAGCTTTAATTTCTTCTCCGGAAGGCTGTTACTGTCCTCTAGTGGAGAACCACATTAACTTAACCAATTATCAAAATAGCCTGAACTTGGCCTGGCACCGTATTAGTAATTTGTGAAATTTATTCAAACTGGCTTTCAATGCATATAGTAATAAACCTCAGTTCTGGGATCAGCAATCTTATAGAACAAAAAAGGTTTGAGGCTGAGATGCTATGTCATCCTTGAAGCCCTATGATAGTAAAATTTAAAAAAAGAAATCAGTAAAAGGCAACCATTTTGGCCATTTCAAAATGAGGTATCTTTTTTTTTGCTCCCTACTCCAAACTGCCATCTCTAGTTTTCCTACAAGCAGCACAACTTTAGCAGCTTTGCAGGCATGAAGGAGCCAGAGCAGTTTTTCTTTACTGACAGTATATACACAGTCAGGCCCAGAAATATTTGGACAGTGTCACAATCTGTGACAAAATGTTTTTGGCTCTGCATTTCACCATTTTGGATTTGAAATAAAAACTACAACAGAATTGAAGATCAGCCTTCAATTCTTGCACTTCAGAAGCTTTAACTAAAAGGGTTGAATGACATATGTGATTGAATATGTTGGAATTTTAGCTACTTTAAAATAAATGCTCCTCATTTGAGGGCCTCAAAAATAACTGGACCAATAAACATAGACCTAAGTTAAATGTTACTTTTTGAGAATACTTTCCATGCAATTACTGTCTGAAGTCTGGAACCCATGGACGTCACCAAACATTGGGTTTCATCCTTTGTGATGCTTGGCCAGGCCTTAATGAGGATGTCTTTAGTTGTTGCTTGTTTTACAGGTCCTGCTTTAAAAAAACAACTCTTGGGTTGCATTTGCAGTATGTTTTGAATTATTGTCCATCTGTGCTGTGAACACCCTCCAATCGTCTTTTGGCTGAATCTGAGCAGAAAGTATTTCCCTATGCACTTCAAAATTCATCGGGCTGCTTCTGTCTTTTGTCACATCATCAATAAACGCAAGTGACTCTGTGCCATTGGAAACCATGCATGCCCATACCATCAAACATTCTCCTCAATGTTTTACAGAAGATGCGGTGTACTTTGGACCATTAGCTGTTCCAATTATTTTCCAAACTTTCTTCCTCCCATCATCCTGGTACAGGTTGATCTGAATCTCATCTGTCCAAGGAATCCTGTTCCAGAACTGGGTGGACATTTTCAGGTGTTTGCATTTACTCTCGTGAAGTATTCTCTCTATGGTTCTATATATATACATAAAAATATTTATATATTTATATATGTCTGTGTGTGTGTGAGAAGAAAAAAATACTTTTTTCTGGAGGTATGGCTGCTTTTATTTTGCCATGGCAGTGCGCCACAATCAATTTACATTTAGCGGAAATCCTGTATATAAGAGATACAAGATAAAAATCCACTTATTCCAATTAAAAGTCAAAGGAGAGCCACTGACAGCTGCCATTGAGGCCAACACAGGAAAAAACAACTATAAGAGCAAGTAAAATCCACAATTAGCACAGTTTGCATGATTTTTGAAAATAGGAATAAGCCAGTCAAGAGAGCCCACACGCTTAAGGGAACCATATACACGCCACATAACGTGAGAGCCCGGAACATTCTTACTGCAAGGCAACAGCGTGAACCATCACACCATACAGCCCTCTTTATTTATCCCACAGTGGGAGGACATTCCCTCTGGAGATCTATGCTGTTGAAATGGGTTTTCTGTGTACAGCAATCTGTTAGTTCTCAAACCTTCCGTTTGCTTAATTTATGATTGTACTGGTACATTTTTATTTCAACTTTCAAAAAAACACTTTACTGACAAAACTGTGACAAACTGCCATTATTATCGTATTATTCTATTTAATTAATAAAAAAAAACAATTTTGTTTAGGTAAAACAAAGAAAGAAAATTGATTTCTTGCTTTTTCTACTCTCCGCAGTTTGTTTTTTTTACTAGTAAAGGTTCAGCAGAAAAGGTGAAGAGGTGGAGGGCTGATTAACTGGCAAAACCAGGTGGAGTTTCATGGTCTCAGGGGTGATAGAACTCCCCAATTATTTTCCTAGCTGCAAGGAGAAGAGGAGGTCATGATCCAGGCACCTCTCTGCAGATTGAAAATGGACAGGAGATTGTCTTTTGGCTTGGACAAACACTGCCAATAACTTGGAAATTATAAATTAAGTGAGATAGAAGTGAAAACTATTCAGGTCCAAAATGGGATTTTTTTCAAAAATAGACAACATACTTTCTTTGACAGTTACATAATTTGAAGGATGAATGCAGTTCTGGTTAAGAGATTATTGGCTCAACTGCCAGACTAATACATTAAAAGGTGGAAAATTTGAGCTTGTCCTCAAACAATAACTGCATAGAGACATATCAAACAATGACCCAACAATGATGCTTCACAGTACAATTATCTCACAAGAACATGAGTTTGATTGATCTACTTTTCAAAATTCTTATAAGTTTTGTCACACAAAGGGGTAATAAATGGTGAATAGAACAAAAATTAACATTTTTGCTGTATAATTATTCTTGTACAGTAGACTGTTCTTGACAAAAAAAAAATCCCTGTAAAGCAATGGACAAATAATTACGACTCCAACACCATGTCTTGCATGTCATCAGTCTGTAAAAAATAGTACCGACATGTAACCATGCAAACAGGTAGGTTTGTTTTCATTTTATTTTATAATCTTATTTTCAACAATAAAACAGTCAGCCCATCAGCAAATTAGTTTTTTGTTTCTGCCACAGAGTGCTATTCCTCATTCAATTTAACAGAAAATTAAGTTTTTAATAATGCTGAAATATGTTTTTCACTCATACATCATTGAAATAACACAAAATTGCCTGCACACTACAGGTACAATTAAGTGTCAATCACCCAAAAGAGGTGGGCGTTTTGTGTGAAAGTGTCTCTCATTGGATAATGTCTGATGAATTCAACGCCCTCAAAACAAATCTTTGTTGCTATTGGCCAGAATCAACATAGCAACAAAGTAGTGACCAATGCAAACCCGGTGAATTTTCTGTCCCCATAAGTCTGCAAGCTAATGCAAACAAACCAGGCAGCAAGTGTAGTATTGATGTGTGCCTTTGTGCGGGCTTACTTCGGCATCAAACTCTCCTGCTACCCATTCGAAAACTCGTTTTTCTTTAGCAATAGTCTTTATTTCTTCTTAGGTGGTCACACAACAAACCAAAACTGAAGTTGCTTTGGTAAAGGTAAGGTAGATTCAGTCCCCTTATAAAACAGCACCGGTTTACCCAAAATGGCTTCTGCTAGCAAGTCTTACACAGTTTGCTCAAGCTAACTATGGCTTAGATGCTAGGAGCCGGTAGATAGCCTAGCTTGCTGATGCTTCAGCTGATGTATATTCTCGCAGAAAATGGCGCCGTGGTACTTTTTGTTTATAGCTAGATATGTAAATAATTGGGTCATATCTCTATACTTGATTGTATGACCAATCTGAAATGTAATTTATCAGGTGTAAACTGGTCATGTTCAGTACGTTTTTACGTTAGCAATGGGATAGCACTTAAAACACTACCGGAAACATTAGCGGTCATAAGCACACTGCCCTGCCCCATTCCACTGCACCACGAAGTCATGTTAACGTTGGGTTATTAGGCTAGTCTTTTTTCTGTCCAAAGTAGCAAAGCATCACCCATTTCGAATTGAGGTAGCTTTGTACAGTGTTATTGCAGACGATTTCCGTGTCAGTAGTTGGGAGTCAATTGAACATTGTTATGGATTAAAATTAGGAGGAAAATTATATGTCACGACGTCGCTAATTTATGGATTTAGCTACATAGCGATGAAGCTAATTGGTTAACTTCAGCGGGTACCTTTAGCCGTTAGCTGATTCACTTTGGCTTTGTCGTGCCTTGAAAATGGCGAAAACAAAAAAGATAATGCATTATGCCATATGAGGTAATGGAGTTACCTATAAACTCAGATGTTTTAAAGGGATATGCTAACGATTACTTAGCATGTCTTTGAGTTTGAAGGTCGGTAGATTTTCCTCGATAAGTAGTTTGAAAAAAAATCCCAAACAATTTAAAATTCAAATGAATTCCGGAAAGGGGTTTTGTACTTGCAAAACTGAGGGGTTTGAAGTGTCATTTTTCCCAGTCTGTTTGATAACATTTTTGTAGTCTTGTTTAGACAATCCCCCTTGGACGTATTGATAGCATTTATTTTCCCTTCCACAGCCCCGTTTTCCCCATCCCCTCCGATAATTCTTATTCTTTTGAGGATTCTCATTGTCAAGCCGCCAAAGTGGAGAGTGCGATTGCAGAAGGGGGTGCTTCTCGTTTCAGGTAATGAACTGAGTCTTTGCTTGAAACCTAAAAATCCAAGTTTATTTAGTCCAGGTAGCCCTCTCATCATTTTGCGTTGAAACTTCCTGCCTCGAAAACAAAGCAGGATATGGGAATGTTCAAAATGGTTGTCAGACACTTCTCTTTTGGAAATGGGGGGGGGGGTTGGGTATTCTCCACTGGCTGTGCATAGGTTTGGATAAGAGAAGGCAGAATAATTGACTTATTTTTACGTGTTTGTTTGTTCATTGCTGGTGTGGTTGTGTTTGTGTATAGTTTAAGCTGAGCTTTTTTCCACGGGCTTGTTGATGGTTTTGTCTCTAGATTTTATGAGATAAAATAGAGGACATAGTGAGAAAATGTAAACAACTGTAGACAACAGCATTGAGCTTGGGGATTTCCTGCACATTAAAATGATGTAGTTGCTTCCGCAATAGTAAGCTGATGGTGGGGGGGAACGTATGTTGGTAAAGTGAATTGTCTCATTACACAGCAGTGCAGTCATTGAAGGAATAGCTTGATTATATCTGCCAGAAAAGTATTTTATCGTTTTTGATTGAATAACTTTGAAGCCACATTAGCTCGTGTCTCGGCGAGAGGGGATATCAGCAAAATATTCAATCAACTGACCTAGAAATAGTTGAAAATAGAACGTGCATGAGTAAGCTGTTTCTTTAAGGAGGAGTAAAGGAGACCAGTTCAAATGGTTTGTCTTATAAACTAAAGTGGATCAGACTAAATCAAGGTCACACAAATCAGCTTAGTGTGAAATGTGTTGGAGTGCAGCATGATGTTTGTCCTTTGTTACATGGGTACACACAATTTGGCCACATTCAGGATGAATGGGAGTTGCTTCGGCTTTGTTCCTGTCCGTGGATTGAATGGTGAAATGATTTGCATGCAGCATTTCTTAACTTGCACTGCATTTGGTTTATAATCAAAATGGCCGAGCCATCCTTTCTACTCTGTGTAACTAAGGTCTTCTCTGTTTTTCTGCAAATGCAAATATAATACTTTGAATTCCATAGAAATGTGATGCATTTATTGATTACTGGAAGAACTTTTAGATTAGTATTCATAGCATTCGGTACTCAGGATATACAAATGTAATTGCTTAGTCTCAGCCTGTCTGATTGCATGAAGGAGAAATGCTGAATATGGTTTTCTGTTAGTTCCGGATGCAAGTTTCGTCAAACTTATCGCATGACTCTAACATACTCCTCCCATGGTTTGCATCTGCAGTGCTTCTTCGGGGGGAGGAGGTGGTAGGGGTGCACCTCAGCACTATCCCAAGACTGTCGGCAACAGGTGAGTAGTTTTATTTTCTTTCCCAGAGCGCTCTCCCAGGGCACGGAAATACTTAATACTGGCTTGATACCATTATTCTTAGTTGTTCTTCCACTGCAGTACAAAACAATCAACATAATCTGGTTGATAAGAGGCTAAAATCCCCCCCCCCAAAAAAATTTGTTTAAATCCCCAGGATTTAAAATGAATACAGATCACAGTTTAATGTCCATGCAATGATTGCATAGCCTTGGATAATGCTTTTAAATTGGATAAAATACATTCAAAATAATTACTCACCTAAATACATGTGCTGATGGGTTTCTTTTATCTGTTCTGTTTTTTTATTTAATATTGACCATATATATATAGATGGAGCTGGTGAAGTGAGCATTTACATTATAGGGTGCATTTGTTCGCTGTTCCAAACAGATCAGTTTATCGTGTGTCATTCTTCCTTTCTGTGCGTCTGCAGCGAGTTCCTGGGGAAAACCCCGGGGCAAAGCGTTCAGAAATGGGTTCCTTCACGAAGCACTAGACGAGATGCCAACTCCAGCAACGAAAAAGAGCGACATGATGCAATCTTCAGGAAAGTGAGAGGGTAAGGGTCTGCATCCTTTTTGTTATCCCTGCACAACTCTTTTTTCCATTCCTTCTTGTTAAGTTTTACGCAGAAATATGATAATTTTAATCTTTCGAAAGCACTTGTCTAAGCAGTTCTGGCATTTTTTTAACATAACTTTTTTCAAAGGTAGCCAGACTGGAAATGCTAAAACATTTCAGGAAATGCTTGGTAGAAATTTTTCTATAATTTCTATTTTTATTGTGCTGAACTACTTAAACCCAGATTGTTTAAAAAAATCGACTGGTTGGACTGCGGCTTGTGCTTTGCTATGGGCATACAAGCCTGCTGTCCCCCTGTATTGGGTGACATTTATGAGATGACGGTTTCCCTCTGGAAAGTAGCCACGGGAGGCAAAAAAATGTGGTATGAGCTGAGAGGAGTGACATAATCTCTGATGTTTGCCTTGTAAAAATGATAGCAACTGAAAGTTTTGTGTATCCGGATGAAAATGTTTTCGCTATGTTTCATAAAGAGTTTGTCCGACAAAAAGAATGAGAAAAGCTACTGAGCCAATTTGTGTGATTGTACAGCTAATGGTGACTTCCTACCCTTGCTGCCTCGCCCTTCCTCTGCTTTACCCCCATCACAGCATACTCAACAAACTCACGCCTGAAAAGTTTGACAAACTATGCCTTGAGCTCCTGAATGCGGGCGTAGATTCAAAACTCGTCCTTAAAGGAGTCATCTTGCTGGTAAGCCAAAACGTTTAGTCTGTAGAGCCCAGCTGAATCGAACTTCAATCAACCATACTTGGCAGTCTGCTCTCAGTGACTCATCGTCACTCATTTTAATGACTTTGGTGGCTCTGCTCTGGTTTGTTTCTCTTGCGATGGGTTTCAGATTGTAGACAAAGCCCTAGAAGAGCCAAAATATAGCTCGCTCTATGCTCAGCTATGTCTGCGCTTGGCAGAGGACGCACCAAACTTTGATGGCCCTTCATCTGAGATCCAAACATCCCAAAAGCAGAGCACAGTATGCAACCTTTTTTTTATTTCAGTGACTGCATGCCATTCTGTAATTTGCGCAATAATGTAGATTTGTGGCTTGTATTGATTTCTCTTGTTTTGCTGCAATTTGTAGACCTTCAGAAGACTGCTAATTTCCAAGCTTCAAGATGAATTTGAAAACCGCGCAAGAAATGTTGAAAGTAAGTCACAGTGCATCCAGAGAGTTTGCTCAGTTGTTACAAACTGACCGTTGTTAACCCTCATGTTCTTCTCCCCACCTCAGTCTATGACAAACACGATAACCCTCTTACTTCTGAGGAAGAGGAGCAGCGTGCCATTGCCAAGATCAAGATGCTTGGCAACATTAAATTCATTGGGGAACTTGGCAAACTCGACCTCATCCATGAATCTATCCTTCATAAGTGCATCAAAACAGTATGTCCGGCTGCTTCTTGCTCATGTTCAGTGGAAGTCACTCTCCCATCTATAGCACACAAACTTACCTGCCCCTCTGTCCTTCTGCAAAGCTTCTGGAAAAGAAGAAGAGAGTCCAGCTCAAGGACATGGGGGAGGATCTGGAATGCCTCTGTCAGATAATGAGAACAGTGGGGCCGAGACTCGACCATGAGAAAGCAAAGGTAACGGGTCCCAGGTTGAGTAGATGTGACTGAAACCACACAAGCTAACAAAATGTCAGCATAACATTTGTAACAAAATGTTAGCATAATATTTTAAACAAAATGTTGACATAACATTTGTAACAAAATGTAAGCACAACATTTATAGGTTTGTTTTTTTTGCATCTGCCTTTGTGCCAGTCAAATAGTCATTTGGAGTCCTGGCTAAGGTTGCCATCTGACCTCACTTGGTTCTTATGTTTAGCTTCATAGTTTTTAATTCCTCCTCCTCCTCCTCCCACCTTTTCATCAGTCTTTAATGGATCAGTACTTTGGCCGCATGCGATCCTTAATGAACAACAAGGAGTTGCCTGCAAGGATTCGCTTCCTGCTGCAAGATACAGTGGAACTGCGTGAAAACAACTGGGTCCCCCGCAAGGCCTTCATTGACAACGGCCCAAAGACGATTAACCAGATCCGCCAGGATGCAGTTAAAGTAAGTGCCGAGTGGACGTGAAACATAACATGGACCAATGTTGTTTTAGTTCTTTTTAAATTGCACTCACTGTGTTTGTTTGTAGGATTTGGGTGTTTTCATCCCAGCACCCATGTCTCAGGGGATGAGGATGGACTTCTTCCTTGAAAGCCCTTTCATGCCCAACAGAATGAAACTGGACAGAGAGACTCTCGGGGGGTTGGCCGACATGTTTGGACAGATGCCAGGTTTGTGGCTGACTAATTTATTTAAAACCTCCTTTTCAAAATGTTTTCTTTGGTTAAAATAACTTGCATTTCCTGGAACACTTCGTTGTTCCTTGATATTGGTCCGTGGCACCCGACTCAGCATTTATATATGCTCTTTGCTCTGTTCCAGGCGGTGGGATTGGAACTGGCCCGGGGGTCATTCAGGACAGGTACTCGCCCACTATGGGACGCCATCGCACCAACCCACTCTTCAACGGCCACAGCGGCCACATCGCCCCTCCTCCACAGTCACAGTTTGACATGGGGCCCAAGTCTTTTGTTAAGTCCAACCAGGTAATCTTCTAAGGTCTAAAAGTGGACACAACCTTTAGCCAAAGAGTAGCTGCTTACAAATGTTTTTTGTTGTAAATCTCCAACAGGTGCAAAACCAGCATTTCCTCAACCAGAACCAGAACCATATGACCCAGCAGCAGGTTCAGTCTAAGGACATGCCTCCACGTTTCAGCAAGAAAGGACAGCTCAACACAGACGAGGTAACTGGGGTGAGCATGGCTGCGCTACAGAATGTAGAGGGCAGTTTTTTTACTTTGCAAACATAAATGACTGTTTAAACTAACAAAAAATTCAATCTGATGCTGTCCACCACAGCAGAAGTGATTGTCCTCCTAACTTTCCTGGAGTCTCAATGCCCACTGATTATAAAAAGACGCGTTATTCTGAGGAACACAACCTGCCTTCAGTCTCTCCTTCTCTGTCTGCTCCGTCCTCAGTCTCCTCTGGCTTTCCTGTACCTCCTTCTGCTCCTTCTCTTTTCTAACTGCTGGCAGGTCCTTTGACTGCGATTATGAGATATGAGGGCATTGCGAACCACTAAAATGCAGAATTTTTTGGGGGTGGGGCACTACGTAAACCTTTAGACTAATCCTGTAATGTTTACTGCCTCCGGGACCCCCAGATCAGCCTCAGACCGGCCCAGTCATTCCTCCTCAACAAGAACCAGGTGCCCAAGCTCCAGCCTCAGATTCCAACCATGATGCCTCCCAGTGCTCAGCCGCCCCGCACACAGACCCCCCCTCTGGGACAAGTAAGAGACCTCGCAGTTTACGAATTGAGTCAAATCATGCTTGGACGATATTACAAGGTGTAAATAATGATATGACCTCCGCCTACAGCCTCCACAGCTTGGCCTGAAGACCAACCCTCCTCCCATTCAAGAGAAACCACAGAAGACAAACAAAAAACCTCCTCCTGCCAGGGAGGAACTTCTAAAAACCACGGTAGGCAGAACGGCCACATTCACAGCTTTAGGTGCCTCAGTCCATCCAACACTTTTTAAGGATGTGGCCAGGGTAGGTCACCCAGCCAGGTGTTTTAAAACCACAGTTTAGTTATCACCGGTCTGCCCCAAACTACTTGTCCCACACAGGGGGCCTTGGCTCTAACCCTGAGCACTTTGGTGTTTCTGAGATCCTGCTTACCACAAGACAAAGCATTAACCTACTTTTGTTGTTCCTGCGAAGTAGAAGCTTGCGTAAGAAGCAAAAATGACTCAACATCTGATAGAAAGGACAGGGCAGGCTTTACTCGAAGCTTAGTTATTCTTATTGCAGCACGATGCTGCTTATTTTCTTTTTATAAAATGGGAGATGGTGCGGCTTGCTTTCCCACGCTGCTCTCATCTGCTGGGACAGCGTCATCAGAGTTCAGAATAAAACCTGATGGAACAGATACAGATGTCCGGCACCATGCTGGGGACTGGGACTGATCACAGAACAAATGCTGTAGAGGCCACGCTACATGATCCACAAGTGTGTTCAGTCAGAGGCTTCTCCAGCCGGAGAGCAGAGCACCGCTCATTCCTGCGCTCCCCCCCCCCCTCAGGAGTCCATTGTGACCGAGTACTTGAACTCCAAGAACCTGAACGAGGCGGTGAACGGCGTGCGAGAGATGAAGGCACCAAAGCATTTCCTGCCAGAGATGCTCAATAAGATCATCGTGTGTTCCCTGGACCGGCCCGACGAGGACAAGGAGCACGCCAGCACTCTGATCCACACGCTCCGCGCCGAGGGTCTGATCACTGGAGAGAGCTTCATGCAGGTGAGTCCCGCTGTGAGCTGTTCTACCCGCTGGAATGCTCAGTCTGGTGATGTTTTAAGTGCTGGGCCCTCTCCCCCCGACACCTCCAGGCCTTCCTCAGCGTTCTGGACCAGTGCCCCAAGATCGAGGTGGATGTCCCTCTGGTGAAGTCCTACCTGGCCCAGTTTGCGGCCCGGGCCATCATAGCGGAGCTGGTGGGCGTGGCCGAGCTGGCTCACCCACTGGAGAACGGCACCCACTTCCCACTCTTCCTGCTCTGCCTGCAGCAGACCGCCAAGCTGAAGGACCGTGAGTGGCTCACGGACCTCTTCCAGCAGAGCAAGGTCAATATGCAGAAGATGCTTCCAGGTAGGAGTCCTCCTCCACATCTTTTATCCACATTCCACATAAGTAAACTAAATGTAGACCGAACCACAGAGACCCAGAAGCATCGACTTGTACTTCTCTCTTCCGGACTGCTGTTGGGAGCAAAAATCCTATTTTTCATAGCTGACATCCTTTTCTGCTTCCTCCTATTGACAGAAATCGATCAAAACAAGGACCGCATGCTAGAAATTCTGGAGGGGAAAGGCCTGAGCTTCCTTTTCCCGCTGCTGAAGCTAGAAAAGGAACTGCTGAAGCAGATCCAGGCAGATCCTTCTCCACAGTCCATCTACAAGTGGATTAAAGACAATATTTCACCCAAGCTTCACACTGACAAAGGCTTTGTCAACATCCTCATGACAAGGTGATCTTTCCCTCTAAAACCAGACAACATATTCTTGTGTGAATATAAAGAAAAGCATTGTCCAGAGCTGTAGTGTTCCCGATCTTTCATTTCTTTATTTTTTCTTCCAGTTTCCTGCAGTACTTCTCCCAGGAGCTGTGCATGGCGGAGAGTGAGGAACAGCTGGCGGCCCCTCCCAAAGAACAGCTGGAGCAGGAGAAGCAGCTTCTGCTGGCCTTCAAGCCCGTCATGCAGAAGTTTCTGCACGACCACACCGAGCTGCAGGTCAGCGCCCTGTACGCTCTGCAGGTGCACTGCAACGCCAGCGGCTTCCCCAAAGGTAACCCCCCCCCCCCCCCCTTTATTATCTGTGCATAAACAAAAACACACTGAATGGTTTGTTTCCAAAAAGGCATGCTGCTGCGTTATTTTGTTAACTTCTACGACATGGAGATCATTGAAGAAGAGGCCTTCCTTGCATGGAAAGAAGACATTACCCAAGAATTCCCTGGAAAAGGAAAGGCTTTATTCCAGGTAGGAGAGCTGAGCTGAGCGGCTGTTTGGTTCCTGATAACCGCCGCATGCTTTCTCCCGCTCACCTGTGTGTGTCTGCAGGTGAACCAGTGGCTCACCTGGCTGGAGACGGCTGAGGAGGAGGAGTCTGAGGATGAAGCCGACTGAACCACCAGCAGAAGCTTCACGGCGTCTTCAGCCCTCTTCCACGTTGTTAGACTCGGCTTTCCCTCCCTTTAAACACCACGCTTGTTCTAACCACTACCCCGCTGCACTCCGTCTCGCTAAAGCCCAAAACCCGTCACCTGTGGGCCTGGTGTGCGACCAGCTGCACAGCGGCGGCCGGCTGAGAGCATCGTTTGATCTGTTGCCTGACGTTTTTTTGCTTTGTTTTCTCTTTTTTTTAATCTTTTGTCCAGATCAGCTACATACGTTGAACTTTAGATGGCTTCAACCGTGTTTCTTTGTTTGGATTTTTTTCCTTTTGTCTGTGTTAGTTTTGTTACTTGCATGTTTTTTCATTTCCATTCAGCTATTACTGATTTCAACCTTAGGATGCGTCATTTATTTAACAAGATTTTGGCTATTTAATATTCTCACTAATGATGGTTACAAGCGTTCAGTTGTAAACCGAAGTAAGCTGCTTTATTACCTGCTACAAAGTCCAGCCTAAAGTCCAGACAGGTCATTTGCTTCGTTAGAAAGGAACGGTGCACAACACGGTGGGTGACTGAAATGAGAATGAAGCATAAGCTGGAAAACATTTCATAACAAATAAAGTGTGTTGAGTGGAAAAAATTGCTCTTCATAGTCATTGATGATGAGCATCTTTCAAAGTTGGTTCCCCTTGACCAGAAAACATTTGATTTCTGTTATCCATCCCTTTCCGTTAACTACATAAATGGCTGCAGCACTTGTAATCCTTTTAAAAATGTTACATTTTAAAACTAAAACAAATGTAATCATGGTTGTGCCGCTGTAACATTTTGAAGTTGCCTGTGTTTCTACCTCTTAGTTAGATGGGCTGTTTTTGAGTTTTGTGCTGGGATAACGATGAAGACAAAGTATCTCGAGCCTTAGAAAATGGTTTCATAATTGATTCAGTTCCGGCCTCGAGGCACAATTCATTGAAGCGGATGTTTCCAAGGAGGCTTTGCTGTGTTTACAAGTATTGATATTTCGGAGAGGAAAGCAACACTTTTTTTCATTTAATTTTTTTTATTTGGCAGCATGGTATCCTCATCGAAATGGACCCATAAAAATGCAGAATTGTGTTTCCCAGTGTTCGGAATAAAAGTGGAGAAACTAGCCTTTAAAAAAATAATTATTATTTGTCTTTAGGCTCAGTTACAGAAAATGAGATAAGCTATTCCCCAACTGTCAAAATAGAAGTTTGAACTGTTAAGACTGATTACCATAAGTATACCATTGAATTAAAACATTTCACCCCAGAATTGTATTCACAAGCTATGTGTATGTATAAAGAAAAGATTAGGATCTTATTGTAACGTATTCATAATTATTATGCACCTTTGTTGTTAAATGTCAATAAAGTCCCATACATGAGCACCAATGCTGTTATTTCTTTTCTATTTACAAAGCTTTATTTATTTAAAATTTTCAATAAAAAGCTCGACGAAACGCAAGATGTGACCGAACATCTGAGAGATCGACCTGAAATGGGGAGGTGCTGAGGCTTCCTGACAGGCTCCGTATCATCACTCCTGGTCTGTGGGGATCCAGAAGTATTCCACCACCTTCCTGCTCCTGCGAGGGGCCGAGTCGGGCCGTTCCCCTCTGAACGAAGGCAGCTCGTCAAAGTGACTTGTGCCAATATCGCTCCCTGCGTTTGGAGCAGAGATCCTGAACATGGCCCTGAAAGGAGGAACACATTGATTGAATTATGAATTTATGACTGGGCTTTGTCACTGTAATACTTTCATTAGGCATCTTTAGTGAGCATCCCTATCTGGATTCACTGTTTCAATGAGGGCCCCTGGTGGACACAGAAGTTGTTGCAATAGCCTTTAGTTTTTGGGCTCATCTCTCTCTCTCTCTCTTTATTTATATATACACAACCCCTGGCAAAAAATTATGGAATCACTGGCCTCAGAGGATGTTCATTCAGTTTTTTAATTTTGTAGAAAAAAAGGAGATCACAGACATGGCACAAAATTAAAGTCATTTAAACTGTCTGTCTTTAAGAAACACAAAAAGAAAATCTAGGAAAAAATGTGGCAGTCGGTAACGGTTACTTTTTTAGACCAAGCAGAGGGAAAAAAATATGGAATCACTCAATTATGAGGAAAAAATTATGGAATCACACTGTAAATAGAGTAAAAACTGTGAAAGCATTCATTGAAAAAAGGCATAAGGTAAATGTCATGGCTTGCAATTAGTCCAGATCTACATCCAATCGAAAATCTTTGGAAGTTGAAGAAAATGGTCCATGACAAGGCTCCAACCTGCGGAGCTGATGTGGCAACATTCAGAGAAATTTGGAGCCAGATTGATGAAGAGTACTGTTTGTCACTCATTAGGTCCACGCCTCAGACTGGATCTGTTATAAAACCAGAGGTGGTGCGTTCTTTTGTTTTTCACGATTCCATAATTTTTTCCTCAGAATTGAGTGCTTGGTCTAGAAAAACCGTTACTGAATACCACATTTTTTTTTTTTTCTTGATTTCTTTTAGTGTTTGTTAAATTACTTTATTTTTGTGTCATGTCTGTGATCTCCTTTTTTTTCTACAAAACTAAACAACTGAATGAACATCCTCTGAGGCCGGTGATTCCATAATGTATTGCAAAGTAGTAGTAGAGTATTAATCCAGAAGTTTTAATCTTTTGGCATATCAGCACCAGATTGCCATGTGTATCAGGACATCAAAAGAATATGCAAGAAAAGAACAGGCTAGACTTCTCACCATATTTCATAATTATGTTAATCTCCTAATTATTTAAAAGAAAACCATTTTTAAATGTGGCCCTAATGCATACAATTGTGTGTGTGTGTGTGTGTGTGTGTGTATATGTATGTATGTATAAAAATAAATGATATAGTTTCTGCAAAGTCAGTTTACCTGGATGGACTCCTCTCAGGCTCCTCGGCCCTGAACTCTGGACCGGAGATATAAGCGGGGTCGCCCTCCTTTGCGCGACAAATGAAAAAGCAAGAACACACTATTTTCCAAGAGCAGGCATTAAAACAGTAAACATTCACTGATTCCTCATCTGCATATTTTTAACTTTCATAATTGCTTCAGTAAGTCATCAGGTTTCAGCTCACCGTGAAACTTTTTGGGCTTCCATCTGGGTTCTTGAGGATTTTGACCCGCTGATCACTCTCTGTCATGCACAACATATAGCTCCTGATGTTTGCTTGACACTGTACGGGTAAGATTCAATAAAAAGTACCTGAGGAGCTGATCAACAGGTATCCAAACATTATGAAACATTTTAAAGATTTAGGAAAACATGGTTTCCTCAACATGGAGTACTTAATAACGGTTAACAGAACATCTCAACTTTTTTAATGGAGTTGTGTGATTCTTCCATTTTTTATTTCATCAAACACAAGTATTGGTTTGGCTGCACTGAGAGGACCACCACTGCTCTGATGCTCTGATGTTTTCTTACTGCTTTGCTTTGCCTCTGAGCTCTCAGGTCTTCCTGAGCTTGGAGGTTGTTGGCCAGCTCTTGGTACCTCTCCCTCCAGGTGAGGCACTCGGCTGTCTTCTCCCGCCTCTCTTTCTCTGCCAGACGCCAGTCAGCCTCGGCCTCCCGCTGGGCCTGGGACGCCCTTTTGCTCTCCTCCTCCAATGCTGCCGCTTTCTGCCTCAAATTCAGCTCACTGCAGTGTGATGGAGTTACATTCAAACATCCGGAAAAGAAGGGGGGAAAAAGACAGGAAGAAAGGTATCAGATATTACCTGTGCATCTGTAAACAAGTTGGACCTAATTATTTGTGTTCAGGAAGCAGAAACCATCTCTACATTTAAAATTAGGCTTCATATTTTTGTATTGTTTCTTAAAGTTTAAAGTTAGGAATGGTTTTAGGAAAACCTAACAAATCTCAAATTATGTTGTTATAGGCTGAAAGCTTGAAAAAGTTCAGTTTAGGCAACTGGACGTGAAGTTTTTTCTAGAAAACGTTTCACCTCTCATCCAAGAAGCTTCATCAGTTCTAACTGATGTCGGGTACACTGAGATTAATATACTGTAGGTGTAACAAAAGAATTAGGGGGAAAAAAAGAAGAGGCCTGCTGAGAGAGAAGAAAACTGAAGCAGGAACATCGTCATTCCAAATGTTGCTGGGGTCTCTGAAAAACTCAGGAGGATTTATAACCAGGACCGGATCCCTGAGACAAAAACTGGTTCACCACAAAGACAAGACACCCAGAAACAAGGCCGACAACGTGGTTTACGGTGTTCAGGGTAGTGAGGAGTGCACGGACCTGAACATTGGAGAGACCACAACAACCTCTACACAGGCACATTGCTCAACACCTTAGGGCCAACACCTCAGGACAGGACTCACCTACAATGGCCATTACCCCACAGGTGACCTCCATGGCCCATGCAGTAGGAGGGATCAATTCAATTCAATTCAATTTTATTTATATAGCGCCACATCACAACAACAGTTGTCTCACAGCGCTTTCCAAACAGAGCAGGTCAGACCCTACTCTGAAGTTAACTACAGAAACCCAACAATTCCCACCATGAGCAAGCACTAGGCGACACAGGCAAGGAAAAACTTCCTGGATCAGAGCCACCTTTTGTCTTACCCCTAATTCTTTTGTTACACAGTACATTAATCTCAGTGTACCCACCCTCAGTTAGAACTGTTTAAGCCTTTTGGATGAGAGGTGAAACGTCTTCTAGAAAATTTAACGTCCAGTTGCCGAAACTGAACTTTTTCACGCTTTCAGCCTATAACAACATAATTTGAGAATTTTTAGGTTTTCCTGAAACCATTCCTAACTTTAAACTTGGTTAGGCTAAAACTGCTACAGGATCACCATCATGCACTTGTTTTCATTCTGTTCTCAATGAACACATCATATCATAGCTGTTTTTAACTTGTTTTTGACTTTCTCAACAGGAATCCCTTGGTGGGTGTCATGGAGTTTTATGTTCCTTCTATCCTGTTCTCAAAACCCATTTCTGGTTTAGGCAGATAGCCACTCTCTATGGTTCTCTGCTAGATGTTTCTTAATCTTCAAAGGGAAGACATAAAAAAAAAATTCTTTACACAGAAACCCTATGCATGCTCAGGATGGGGGATTAGATCAATGTAAAGTTTTGGTATAATTTGGTTGTTTTCAAGAGTTGGAAAGCTTTTTAAAAAACTTTTTCAGCTAGTGAAAAGTCCCCCTTATATTGGTCCGCTGCAGTTTACAGTGATAAATGATGCCCTGAGCCTGATTTGGCTGTAAATAAACAATTTTATTGAAAACTTAATACTTAGTAGCTTAAAATAATCTTTAAAGATCACAAATTGACTGTGTCTGATGCTATAGAGACAAAAGTTCACTAAAAAGGAATTTATTATCTGTAACCTCCACTCTTGGACATCTTAAAACACCTTATTTGTAGTAAATACTTTTCATCTGTGACTTTCCTGTATCATGATGAAGCACAATTACATAACATGTTTTTTTTTTATTTGTTGATCTGATATTTTACCATTTGAAACAAACATTGGAGAGATTAAAGTATATATCTAATTTTCCTCCTATGGGTTATTTGGTAGAAAACACAATTTTTGTAAACACACAGCAAAAAGGTACCCACCTCTCCTTAATTTGAACATTTTCTCTCGTGATTTGTCTCAGCTTGAGGCGCAGCTCGTCCCTGTCCTCCTCCAGACTCTTGCTCCCCTGCACAAGGGCTTGATTTTCACCTGTTAACCGGTCTAGCTTCAGCCTGGTTTCAAAGTAGTTTTTCTCTGTTTGTGCCAGAGAAAGTTGCAAATCGGTGTGCTGAAGAAATGGAAACCAGATTTAAGATGATTTGATCATCGTTTTCAGAGTCTGCTACAGTGTCTTGTCCTTTCTCCACCTCTCGCACCCCTAATACTTTCATTATTCCCTATCTGAACCAGGATTTGACTCCCTGCTTCTCACTAAGTGAGCTTAAACTTTGGTCTGAAAAGAGTGAAGGATGCAAAAACACAGGCACACCTGGCTTCCTCAGCTGAGGGTACATCCAGTTTTCAGTGTTCAGAATTATTAAACCCTCATTTAGCTAAAGAGTTTCAGGAACATTTTAATGATAAAATCTTACTAAGGCTTGTAAATGAGCAAACTGCAACTTAAATTACAGCAATTGTTTTTGTAATACCCTTTTTATTTCTTTACCGTCAAAATGATTCAACACCTTAAAGATGCATTCTTTAAGGAGTTCTTTTAGACACAGAACATCTGCGTGTCTAAAAGAGGAAGGACGAGGCCTGTAGAGAAAAGAACACCTCGCCAACAGCGAAGCATGGCGGAGGGCTTTCATGGTTCGGGGCTGTTTCACTTCTTCAGGTACTGGAAATCTCCATCATGTGCAAGATATCATGAATTCAATTAACAACCAGGAGATCTTGGATGTAAATATCATGCAGTCAATGACAACGATCCAAGGCTCCAAATTGAGCTTGGTTGCAGATAAAGGGCCACAAGATTCTGGAGTCGCCATCACTATCGTTCAACTTAAATCCCATAGAAAGTTTCTGAAGGAATCTGAAGAAGGGAGTTGCAATGTCAATGGATTAGAGGACTCAGCCCATGAAGAATGGGCTAAGATACCTGTAGATCACTGTAAGAAACATGTTCCAAGCCATGTTTCATGTCTGAAGGGTGTTATTATTGCCAAATGGTTCTATACAAGTACTAAGGATGAATAAGTTTGTGACTAAGGGTTTAAATAGGTCCTCACTGGAAGGACATTTACTGTTATATTGTTTTACTGTCCAAGTCTTGATTACATCTCATGATAAAGATTTAACAAAAGGACTGGAGACATAGCGATTTTGAAGTTTTACATTACAAATCTATAAAACAATGGTATCGTAAAATGTAACGAAGTAGTTAAATCTCCGACTATATCAACAGCTTACTGATGCCTTTTAAACTACAAATTCATGTGGACATATTCTGATTCTGGCAACAAGCCTAACCAAATGTCCACGCATAAAGACTATCTTTGTGCACAAACTGTGGTTAAGTTAGAAAAATGTCATGCTTCAATACTTTCCTGTGCAGGCTAAACAGCCCAATAGCAGTTTATATGTGTTCTGATTTACACACCGAATGCTTTTAAAGTACTGAAAAATGTCTGTAACTGTATGGAATAAGTTAGCCCAGGCTTTACCTTCACTGTACATTGCTTTCTTGCATGAAATCAAACATAAAACACATTTGGTTAACTGTTAAAATTCAAGTTAAAGTTTAAGTTTATGAAGATAAGACTTGGTGCAACAGACATTTTATAATAAATAAAAAAAACACAATATTTTCTTATTGTAATGATAAGTGCCCTGGGATGGACTGGCGAACTGTCCAGCCCCCCTGAAACCAAATGGTGAATAAGCAGAATAGAGAATGGATGATTGTAATGACTTGTAAATACCATAATCTGTGCGGTTGCTAAGAGTGGGGGGACAGATAAGATGACCAGTTCGATGCCGTCCCTTTACCTCCTTTCTAAGCTGCTGCTGTTCTTTATTCAGCCGGCCCCGGTCAGCCTCGGAGGTGTCCCTGTCCCGCTGGCAGCTGAGGGCCTGGGCCTGGGCCAGGGCCCGGCTCCTCTCCGCCTCCCTCCTGGACTCTGCGGCCTCCTCTGCAGCGCGGGAGCTCAGCGCCGCCCTCTGCTGGCTGTGGCTCAGCTTCTGCCTCAGCTGGGAAAAGGAAACCAGAGCTGGGAGTGTGTCGGCCTGTTCTGGAAACCCTACACACCTGCCTTTGTCTCAAGATGTAATCTGACCCCATGAGTCAGAATAGGTCTGCTTTGATGGAGAGATGAAGGCTGAAGATACGGCGTGGTGTGTAAGGCGGCTGCTTTCAAACATGAGAATCTGAGATTTTTTTACACTGATGGACCCAGGAAGTCATCCTAATCTGTCGTTACTGTCAGTGTCCATTTACGTTGAATGTTGTCAATAGCAATGAAAAGAATCAACTAGAGTCCTTTCAAATGGGAAGAAGTACGAAGCCATCCATCATTTGTAAGACAAAGTCCCAAAGTGTACACAAAGTGTAATATTGCTTAGACCTGATTAATGTTAATATTCAAGACTTTAATTTACAATCATTTTCACATATATAGGTCTCACCAAATAGAAATTATACCTTTTATACGTACCCTCCACCCCCTTTTTTTTCAGATTGGCATCTTCCGTGTTTGGTCTCCATGTTCATTGCTTGATTAGTTTAAGGTAAACATACCTTAGCTTACTTCTAAATTTTGTCTCCGTAGTTATCACTGTTCAACATAAGATTAGAAGCTGAGCCACACAAAGCCAAATTTGTTGAAAAAATTAATAAAACCACGTGAGAAATCAGTCGGTCTTTCTTTTAAACATCATGGATGGGACCGTTTCTGAATTGAAGGGCTGTTTTTAATTTCAACTTTTGATGGATGGCGTCAAGTTCAATTAAATAATTCTGTTTTTTCCTGCAAAGTGTATTGGCTGAAGATATTTAGATATTTATTTAGATATTTAGAACATATCGATCTCAAGAGTTTCTGTTTAAAGTGACCCCCCCTCCCAAAAGATTTAATTATATGAGTTTAATTATTGGCTATTTGATTTTTGGTGATAGGTGATTCCTATTAACTGATCATTTTGATTTAGAGGATGACAAATTAATCCAAAAGTTCCCTGTGACATGCATAAACATTTCATTAACGTTCTCTGCACCATTAACCATGGAGTTTGTTTCATGAAGGCATTTTGTATTTTTTTTGCATTGGATCCATAAATATTTGTAATATAAAAACAAAACAGGCTCTACAGTCATAGAACAAGAAGTACACTTTAATTTCAGGACGATTTCATGTGTTTTGGATCGGAACAGTTTAGATATGTCCTAAAATCAGGACAAATACAGTCTCTGAGACATTCAGTAAATGCTGATGCAGCATAATGCTATCAACATGCTAACTAAGGCCTGCAGAGACATGGCTCTGGTTTCAACATTGTGTGGTCTGAAGTTTGTTTGAACTTGACATCTGCTCTAGGGAAGATTGTCAGCTGTCCTGAAGGTTTTTCACGTGTACATTATTTTTCTTCCTATAGAATAATGAACTCTAGATTGTGACCTATTAACCATTCCCACATTTAGGGTCAGCGGCAGTCACTGATTTAAATTCTTGTCCTCTTGGCTCAAAGCTCCAATTGCTTTTATGGAGCATTTACGTTTACATTTCATCAGTGTACTCAAATTAATATGATTATTGGCACATTGTTTTTGCTTAACCCCATAATGCCATATGTATCATATTTGATACATACGATTAAAAAAAAAATTGCATCTGAGACCTTTTGCATCATTTCATGGTAAGAATTTTGTTCAAAACCTTGTTGTACACAATCAGGTATAGCTGATAACAGTGGAGAGAAGACTATGCACAAGCATTTTGACTTAGCAGAAGGTAATAAATGACGAATACTCAAAAATAATTTTTGTTTTTTCCCATATATTTTGTGAAGGGTCAAATAAAGACTTCAAACAATAACAAAAATTCTCCTTATTTTTTTCTTGGATTGGGCTTTAAAGGGTTAACCTCTGACTTAATGTGGAAACAGTCAGACTGATAATTGCTAATTTATCTTCTAAATATGAGAACTGTTTTTTCAGTTATTTTTTCAGATTTTACTCATCTCATTTTAAGATGTGAAATGAAATAAATAATAGTCCTGAGACATGAGCCTCAAACTTTTAAGGTGGTGTACATTCTTTTCATACTGACCTATTTAATATGTTAAAGATGCAGACAGTTTCCCAGAGACCGGGTAGAACATTTAGCACACCGTTCGTTTTGTAAATCTATTCTTTTTTTAAGGGATCAAAGGGGTCAGTTCTTCTAATCTCCTGAAGGATTTACTGTGTAGAACTCTGTCCAGAGCCTGAGAGTACCTCTTTGACTTGAGCCTGCAGCTCTTGATTCAGGGTCCTGAGGTTCCGCATGGTGAGCTCATTTTCTGTGCGCATCATGATCCGCTCCATGTGGATCTCGTTTGATAAATACTTGTTTTCCTTCCTCAGATCCTCACATTCCTGAGAAAAAGTGTACAATATCAGTGACACGCAGCTGGGAACACAAGCTGCAGAGCTTTACTGGAAAAATCTGAAGATGTGAATTACGTCGGTTTGAAGATTTATCATGTTTTTGTACTTCAAACGACTGTGTTCTGATTTGCCAGATTCCGATCATCAACACACTCCTGTCTCAACAAATGTTCTTGTTTCAGTCAATTTGATACAATTTATGCTCAGAAATATCTCATTGTATTGCTCTCTATATTCAAAAAGTAAATCTTCAAATAGATATTTAGAATAAAAATCCTAATTGGTTTAGTATCTTTTTGTTGCAATCACTCAAGACAAAATAACATAATTTTTTCTCTGAAACAGACGATTTATGGTTTATCTAAACATAACTCGGCAATAACTTCTTATCAGACAATCCCCTGAGATGTAGAGGATTCAAATGTGATACGTGAGATATTTTCTGTTGAGCCCTGTTGACGTCAAATATCCAATTTTTCTCATTTCACTGAATCAGTTAGATCGTTATAACTGTTTTGCCTCATGTCTTGATACTCACCTTCCTCTTTCTGACCAGTTCCCCTTGCAGGTGATTGATCTGGAGGAAGGGGCCGTTGGAGCTAACGGCGCTGACCGGTCTCACCGCCCTCACGGGCCGCCTCGATGGCCTGGAGAGTACCTTGACCTCTTCTGTAATCCCATTCCCAAACCGTCCGTCTTTGTTCACGTTGCTGCTGCTCATGGAGAAAGATTTATACAAGCTGTGGTCTAATGAGGGCTTCCCCGCCGTCTGCAGGTCTGCGTGGGACTTGGTTCTGAGGGACATTTTAAAGCCGGATGGGTGCAGTTGCGCTTAAACGTCTCAGTGATGATTCTCGGAGAGAAGACCGGGGGCTCCCAGTTTGGGTCAGCGACCTGAATGAAGTTCTCAGTTTCATGTGGCGTGCCATGGCTGTATCCTATCACCTGCCGAGCATCATTCATCTTTCATTAGGTAATGTGAGAAGACTAACCTGAACAAGATGGAGGCAAACAGCCTTTGCGTTGCTTTATGAGGCCACCTTTCCTGTCCCTTAAATGTGTACTTCGATATACATATAGATATATCTCTCTTTCTTTATATACACATATATACAGAATTGGTATTATTATTATTATCTGCAACATAAATGTTCATTTTTCCACAATAAAGGATGCTTTAGGATATCATCAGTCATTTCACTTTCACACAGAAAAATGCTGTTACTGTTTTATATTTTCTTTGCAAATGTGTTAGAAATTGGCTAGATTTTTTATGGTATTTGAAAGTGAGCTAAACCAAATGTTTCTATAAAGTGCTATAAGGCACAAAAACAGGCACACATTCATGCATTTTCTCCATCAAATATGGTTGATACACTGAGTAGATTGGTAGAAATCTGACGTTCAGAGTCTCTAATATGTAAAAGACATTTCAATGGAAACAAAAGATGATGAATCATGCATCGCTTGTTCCCATGTAAACGTAAAAGTAAGATCCATGGCAAATATTTACACTCACCCTAACAATATTCAGACATGTCATTTTATCATTATGTGACTTGATGAGGCAAAATATTTGCAATATACACCTACGGGGACACACATACCATGATTAGCGAAACACAAAATAGTTCTAAAAGTAGAACCTGTGTCAAAAGGAAGTTTTTTTATGTCTCACTGACAGCATCGTATTGAGACCGCCTGGCAGCTTTTTAAGCACACCATTAAAGTTCTGCTAATGTCCCGCTGAGAGCGTTGCCGTGGGAAACGGAAGCGGATGTAGCAGCTGTGATAAATGTCGTACGGATGTCCAAGGGTCACGCCATGTTTGCGGGGTCATCTGAACCTTGTGCTTTCCCCTTTGAACCTCGGGTTGAAAAGGAGAGTGAATGCAGCAGCTAGTTTCTGCCGCATCAATCTTTTATGGGAGGAAAAAATATATACTTTAAGTCATATAGTCGTTTTTAAACTGATCAATCATGTATGTTTGAGGACTATTTATGTACTGAAATATCACATTTTTTAAATCAGGCCTCAGTATCTGATTCAAGCGCCTTATTTTTTAGGATTGAAAGCAACATTTTGTACATTTTGGACCATGTCAATAAAAAGAAGCACCTACTGTACAATTCCATTTGTTACACATGGATCCTTAACATGACAATAACTTAAAGAATTCCCACTCTTTTGTCAATTTTCTCCATTGTTATCTCACTGAAGATAAAATTAAACTCCAAATCAGTCCTAAAGATGGCAGCAAGCTCTCAGATTCACCCGGTGTACATAAAGCCATGAATGTGGGACACGTGGAAATGTTTAAATTGCAGAATCCTACATGTCACGCCGTGATGAGGCAGTTCCTGTAAAAACATCACTGCTGATCGGCCTTGCTTAAACACTTTTATTGTATCATGCTCGTGTTTTTTTTTCCTAACATCACGTCTGACTCCCTCGAGGAGCACACAGGTTCAGAGTGAATCACTGCAACATGAAAGCTTCAGGGAGTGTGGAGCATTAATTACGGTGATGTTGAGGAGTTCTGATCTGGAAGGCAGCTGTGCAATCACCTCACAAATCACCATTATCCTTCATCATTCCATCTATAAACACGATAAAGCCCAGTGGAAGTTCACACACTTTCACAGATCGAGGCGTGGTGTGGGAATTTGCGAGTGTTAAAGGTGGTGGGAAGTAGATTTAGTTTATTTTGGATGGAGCTCACCTTGTTGTTACTACGTCTTTCCAGGGTTTGGAAAGAAACTTTCAGCTGATTTTTTAAGTAAAAAAGGGTCATTAGTCATTTGAGCCTATCTCAAATGGCAACCTGGATTTGTATCGTTATCTACTCTGGAAATATTTGTTACAGTTGATTAAATAAAATACCTCGAAACCCTATATGGAATAAACATTACAGAAAATGGATTGATGGAATACCATCCTTTTTTCTTGCAGTATTTATCTGTTGGTTTTTAAAAAGCCATTTGGTTTGGTTGTATTATTTTTGCATCTCTTTTAAATCACCAGTTCAGATTAATTTTACATGTTTTGGAACTGACGTCAGCAGTGACACGGTACGAGTTAAACCAAATTTGTAGTTACCATTCTCTGCTTTATTGTTGCTTTGAGGTCGTGGACATTGGCTTTGGTAAATCAAGATGCTAATTTCAGCTATCACAAGAGACAAAAGTGTATTCCAGAAAGAATTTTAATTGTGCGGTTTACCTTAGGCTGTCATATTGGATCAGGACAAACAAGTCAATCTTCATGTTGTGGATCAGTTCTACTTACCTCAGCTCAGACGGTCCTGAGATTGCAGGAAAGATCATGTCTGATCACCCTGGTCACAAACCTTTTGAAACCCTCCCCTCTGGCAGAAGGTTGAGGACCATCAGGACCAAAACCTCACGCCATAAAGACAGTTTCTATCCAGCAGCAACTGGCCTCATCAACAAGACCAGCGACCCCCACCTATTCTTCTCCCCACCCCCTCTACCTCACTAATTTACCCAATGCTTCAGCATTTTCTGGTCTGTCGTTGGACATCAACATTGCACATTTCAATTGTTCATTTCTACATTCAGATCTATATTTTCAAAGATTGTACTTTTTAGTTTGATCATTTCTGTTCTATATTTTTATTTCTACATTTTATTTCCTTCCTTGCTTCTCATAGAAGTGTTGTGCACCAAACACCGACGCAAATTCCCTGTAAGTCAAAAACCTTCTTAGCAATAAACCTTATTCTGATTCTCCTGCCATTCAAACCTACCGGGTACACAAACTTTTCATGCCTCTGTGACAATCTGTTGAATTACCCACAGGGACTGTAAGAAGCAGCTAAAATATCCTCTGCATGCTTTGAACTTTTTTAACTTTTAGGTACACCACATCTTTACTTTGCGTTTGTTTAAAGCACACACAGGCAGCTGAAAGCTGAGACACAATTTAACAGTTTAAGATAACACGTTATAGGGAAAAGGGGAGAAAACAGTTGTAAAAAAAAAAAAAGTCAGAGGATAGACAGAAGCACAGGAACAGTGTGGAGGAAGTTTACTTTCCGTCTGGCCTGGTGGAGCATTTGCAGTTCTGAGAAAGATGCTGACGCAGCAGAAAAAATCCACATAGCTAAACACCCAGTAGAAATATACTCAGATATATAGCTTTTTCCATATTTAACCAAAAAGGCTTCAGTTTAAACAAGAAGTATGAGGCAACTAACTTCTTAACATGAACCAAGCTGATGATTTATGTTAGGATCATGTTCTACCTGCCCAAAGATTATCTTGTCAATACTGAAAATGTATCTCTGAAAAGAAAACACCTGAAATATTTAATGGAAATCCTCGATCTACTCTTGTTACTGTTGGATGTGCAGTCTATCAAGCAAATTAGAGTTTGTATCAAACCCAGTTAAAGCTGCTGTCAAGGTCTTTCTCCGGTGGATGAATATGGTATCTGCTAAAGGCCATCCAGCAGTTTTCCTGTTTCCTGTTTCCGCCGCTCTGCGTTTGTTTCGGGCTTCTCTTGTCCAGTGTGTTCAGTATGCTTGGTTCATCACCTTCATCTTCTTCAGCTGGATATCTTTTTACACAAAAAATCATGGCAAGGCTTTACTGGTTTCCTCCACTTTTGCTCATGTCTTTTCAAGCATCTGTGCATCCTGGTGAATCCGGTCTCGTGAAAGGTAAGATTTTTATTTCAGCTGATGTGGAAACGATGAAACAACTGTAAAATAACTGCCATGGATTGCCTTTCACGATAATATTTCAGGAACAGTTTTAATTCAAATATTAATGATCAGTAATGAGAATAGAACTAAAAAACATGAAAAGTTTCATGTGTTACAAGTGACAGTTAAAGTCCTGCCTGATTGAAATGCTGTTCGGGGATTTAACAGAGAGCTATGCTAAGAGTGAACTCCTGGATTGGGTTTAGGATTCCCCTGAAACATACTTGGCTGATTTAGCTGTCCATGCTGGATAGCCTGGATAACGTCCACATGCACCACAGGCTTGTTTTCCAATAAAGTCCACGAACTGAGGAAAAACCTGAGAGCTGCATATGGGTAAAGGCTTCTACACCTTTTTTTGCAACAACTTAAAATCATTTACAAATAAAGTTTAGGAAAAGTCATTCAAATTGAGGCTATAAAGAATTTTTTTAGTTCTTAATTTCTTTGTTGTTGCATTAAAACATGCTCTCTGCTTCATCGCAGCCCACTGTTGTTCACTGGCCTTTTGTCTCAATATTATTTTGGGGGATATTTAAAGTTATGCTTGGAACAGACCTCGTGATGGTCGCCGGTTATTAATGTTGGTGGGATATTTTACATCTCAGCTGTCTCTGAAAGCTACAAATCCACTGGAGTCTTCCTGCTTACGGACGGAGGAAAATACACCCTGAACTACACGGACGCCACAGATGCCTGCCTGCTTCTGAATGTCACCATGGCGACCTTTGCCCAGGTGGAGAAAGCACATCAACACGGGCTGGAGACATGCAAGTAAGCTAAAAGAAAACCAGGGTGTTAAGAGGCAAATACTATATAACTATATATATGATACATGAGCCATATATACCATATATATATGTATATGAGTCAAACTTGTGAAGGCATCTATAGTTCCCGTCATCGTCTCTTAACTACTCATTGGCTTCTGTTGACAGATATGGATGGGTAGCTGACAGGATAGCAGTGGTCCCGCGGCTGGTGTCTGACCGGAGATGTGGGCAGGGTAACACTGGGGTGGTAGCGTGGTCTGCACCGTTGACTAAAATGTTTGGTGTCTTCTGCTTCAATTCTTCAGGTTTGGTTTATCAAAATAAAATAAAAAATCACAGTGCAATAAATGTAACTTTATATTCTTTTACAACACTGACAAAAACTGCCTGTGCGTTGGATCAAACTGTGTGACGTTTTGTGTCATCAGCACTTGCAGATCTGGACAAATCTCTTGAAACGTCCTCTGACTCCTCCAACCCTCTGACAACTCTCACCCAAGCCCCAACACCTGCTTCACCTTTGGTTCGAACATCGTCTGTGCACACGTCCTCGACCAGAACACAGATAACATCTAAACCCCCTCAGCAAACGTCAGAAACTTTAGCTCCTTTGTTCGGGACAACACACACAGCCTCCATCTCCTCTTCAGCCTCTCCGTCCCTGAATCCCATTTCGACCCACGCTCCAGTTTCTCCTCATCACTTTACCACCTCGGACTCTGTAGATTACACAGCCGACTTTTCAACTTCAGCTCCACCCTCCACTTTTTCAGCGACCCCTGAGCTAGCGCTGTCAAAAGGTATCAGTGTCTTTTTTTTTTTCTAATTTTGAATCAAACTTATTAATCTTTTCTGGTTGGAAATATCTCTTTACATAAAATTACATGAGGAGATTAAAGAAGATATATAATATCCAAAAAATAGTTTTAAAAGTAAGTAATTATTACCTATTACCAATTATTATTAACCAATAAGCACTGTTAGATCGTTATTGTTCTTTGACTAATAATATTACACATTGCAGTACAAAATAAGATTCTGAATCTTCATATCTTATTATGATTATTTTTAAAAACTAATGATTTTACTGCTGTCACAAATGTTTTTCATTATTAAAGAACATTAAGATGCAATTAGTCCATTAATGTGCAATCATATTTATTTCCAATTATTATTATTGATATCGTCTTAAATTCAGGAAAAAGTATTGAACGGGTATTAAAATTAGCTGAAATTAGAGTTAGAGTGCTGTAATAGGGAATCAAATGACTACACAGTATCAAAGAAACTGGGACACTTTTAAAAATATGCACTAATTACAAAATAGTTTAAACCGTCATTTACAACAAACATTAACTTAATGGTTAGTTACAAGTTTTCAAAGGAAGTATTGAAGAATTGATGATTCACCAATTGATCATTAGTTTTTACATTAAAAAAATCTTTAAAATGTTTAAATTCTACACGGAAAAACACCAAATTGAGCCGAATATGGAAAGTAAGCAAATGCCAAATCTTTAAAACCATGTAAATGATTCAATTTAAGATCAAGAATAAAATTACAATTAAAGGTACATATAGGTGTAGAACAGAAACTAAACTGATCTTTATTTTACTCATATACGATTTTTATTGCTGCTTGTAGTTAATAATACTGTACAAGCTTTATGCTGACCTTTCCCTTTCTTCTTCCATAAAGCTGTACTGACGGCACTCATCGGCATAATTCTCCTGCTACTGACGGCAGCAGGCCTCATCTTACATTACAAGTGAGTTAACCCTCATATTATGTTGGAAAAAAATTACATTGATTATGTTGCGGGTCATTTTGACCCGCACCATGTAAATGTATACAAAACAGTCACAAAAACAGGTTAAACCAATAAAAAATTATGTAATATTGAATGAACCTTTAGAAAAGTGACATAAAAAACATTTTTAATTCCAACACTTTCTTTAAAAAATGTTGAGCAACTTGAGGTACTTCTTAGGCATTTTGGCTATATGAAATATAGATTATAGTCTAACCCCAAAACAGCTTATTGATGTTTGGGGTACAACAAATAAGAACCTTTTCAGTTCCCTTGGAGCAGTGAAATGACGTTAGCAATTATAATTGTTAACAGGAACTCATTTCTCAAACCAATACCAGAGCAGAAACTGCTTCAGACCTAGAAGCTATTTATGTCCCTGTCCTCTTGTCCTTTTGGAAAAAGGAATAAGTTGTGTTGGCGCCAGAGACAGCAAAAAGACGATGTTGAGACAGAGATGTGGAAGCAGCTGAACAGTGAGATGGACCTACATGATGAGCTTGCAGAAGAGGAGGAGCTTGATGAGTCAGAGCCGAACAGGAAGAACTCCAGTGAGATCACGGTGTGTGAGAAACTGCACATTAAAGCAAACTCTTCAGAATAAATGTAATTTCTGCTGAGTTAATACTGACTCTGATGTTATCTGGTGTAACAATATGGTTTGATCTGATTGTTTCTTATTGAAATGGTTTAATGACTAAACCTTAGTGATTGTATTTCTAATTCACACCTCTTGTCAATTGGCTCTAGTCCTCTGATTGTGATTGGCTTGAGCAGTGACAGTAACACAATTACTATACATATGACATCTACAAAAATAGCATATGGATATACATTCAGTTGTTACTACTGTAATACGTGATGGAATAATGACAGGAAACCACCCATAGCTGTGAATATACATTTGTACATATATATGCTCCGAGGTTTTCTGACAGTATTTTTACATAACAAACAACTTCAGATAGACTGGAGACTCATCATTTTTGTACTAGTGATTCATCATAACTGACATAAACAATATATCAAGCATAATATAACCTTATCAACCATGTTGTCGAAGATAGGGCTGTCATCCCAAATGGGGTTGAAAGGAGTTTTCTTTGAAGTTGTTTTCAACTATGAAAGTATGGTGTAAAGTCAAAATACAGATTATTTGGTGCCATAACAGTCCTCTTAGAAATGCATTGCTCTCTATAGTCCAATTATTGAAAAAGATTCAAAGTAAACCATATCTATCTAACTTTAACCTTGCATATTTCAAAACTTTAAACAAAGAGAACTAAACTAAATTTATATTTGTCTCATTCTAATAAATTCATTTGCATTTGTAAAGTCGAATTTTTCTGTATATAAACAAATACTTAGACCGAACACCTGATTTAATTAGTCTTTTGTTTGTATGTATGAACATCTGAATTAACATGTTATCAACTAATTTGCGTTTTTTTTTAAATATAGCCAGTTAAATCTAGTGGTGCATTTAACTTCCTGAGGGAGTCTTCCCAAGGGATCAATAAAGTACTGTCTAAGTCTGTCTAGTTTATGCTCTTTTGCTCTATTGCCATAACATCAGCAATACTTTGATGAATATATTTCTTTCTTTCACGTTAACTCTTAACTTCTTGAAAAAAATAATGGAAAAACAAATATTTTGAAATTCTATACTTGGGACATTATTAATAGCTTCAGTTATTTTTTGTCCTATTTGGTTTAGATATGTTCCTCCCAGCCGCATGGGGGCAGCAATGAGCCCTTTATTTGACTATGCGACGAAAAAAATGTCGTCGAGGAAAAAATGTTCCCCTAGCCCGCATAGCCCCCATGCTAATGGACTGAGCGTTTTGCTTACATCTCTGCTTTCGCCTTCGGGCTTAGTGAACATTGCGGGAATAAACGGGGTTTCTCTCGAAGCGAACTCAAAATGCGACGCCTGGGCTCCGTCCAGCAGAAAATGCCCTGTGTTTTTATGACCGACGTGCGGGAAGGACCCTCCAAAAAACGGGACCACCAGGTGAGATGCTACTCCGTGATTCATCCTGCTCCTGAAATCAGGGGAAAAAACGAAAACACACACAACACAGCATTTTTATGTAAATGTAAAAACACATTTGCCATGATTTTACTTTAGCATCCCCACAGGTGTCCATAATTAGTGACAATTAGTGATAAATGACTCCCGTCAGAAAATGCTGTCAGGCACGAAAGTTCTGCACTAACATATGTATATATCGTTAAATATCAGGTGTTTCTGCCTCCCTTCAGCAATTTCAGGTCCTTGCCACGGAAAACCTGAACCCTCTCGCTACCGAGTCTCACATAGATTGTGCGGTGGCCACTGAAAAACTGGATGGAACCTGCTGCTATGTTACACTTCACAGAGGTGAGCTTGAGAATGTTCGACATTTGCGCTGAAATCACTACGCGCATGCGCAGCATCTGTCAATTGGATTTTTTTTTTTCTATTTACAAGAAAAATAGTTTGTTTGCTTCAGGTCAGCCTCATCTCTGGGCCAGACTTGACAGGAAACCAAACAAGCAGGCTGAGAAGAGGTTTAAGAAGCACCTGCATTGTCACAAGAGCTGTAAAGGTACAGCTGTTTTACAGCTAACCCTAACCCTGACAATAAGGGATACGCTTGAGATGTTGCTTAGGTTTCTGCTGTGGCTTTCAGATTTCACCTGGGATGTGGCGGAGGATTTTAAAGTGGTGCCTGAAACGTGGATCCCTGCTCATGGAGTCCAGCACCATAACGGTCAACCCATACCTGACAAAAATGGACATATTCCAGGTTATATTTACAGTTCTTTGTTTTTGTTTTGGTACAGTTGCACGAGATTACATTTGTTTCTGTGGGAGACTGGCAGTTATGCTGCTTAGAAGAAACAGCCGGCATCATCTCCCACATGGATATAATCAACAATAATTATATAATCTTGTAAACCTCTAGGCTGGGTTCCAGTAGAGAACAACAACAAGCAGTACTGTTGGCACTCTTCCGTGGTGGATTATGTGACTGAGGCGGCTCTCGTGCTCAGGCCGAACGCCGACGATGAAGATTTGTTGGAAATCGCAGCAGTCCCATTGGCTGATCTCCTGGAACAAACACTGGAGCTCATCGGAACCAACGTCAATGGAAACCCTTACGGTGAAGTGAAGTAGCATGCATGTCTATGCCAAAGGAGAGCAATTTTTATTTAACAACCTGCTCCTTTGGCAGTGGCTTGTGATATTAACTATTTTTCCAAATACAAAGGAATGGCTGCAAATTGGAAAGGCTTTACTCAGAATACTTCCAAAGATCCACTTTTATGATGGAAAGAAGGATGTTTTTCCACCTTAAAAGCAGGGGAAAATTTTGTTCCTGGTCTTGGTGTTTGAGACATGGATAAAAAGAGTAACAAATACATAAAGCATCAGCTATGAAATGTCTCTTTGATCATCACTCTTTGAGCTATAGTTAAGTGTGACTATTGTAACAGGATTGGGGAGTAAGAAGCAGCCTGTCCACTGCCTGGTGCCACATGGGAGCATTCCTATCAGAAACCCTCCACCTGTGGCCTTCCAGCACCTATATTCCTGGTTCCAGGAGAGTCCAGAGGGCCGGGTTGAGGGCATCGTTTGGCACTGTATGGATGGCACTCTTATTAAGGTTGGTTGACTTGGTATGCTGTGGTAAAAGCTTATCTGTCAGGGGAAAATTTGAATGAAACAGTAAAGGTTAAATGATTTAACTAGCCATACTGATGGGTTTAGTTGTTGTCTTCCACTATTTATGCAATCGTGCAGAAATCTCCTGGTAAAAATGTGTGTGTGGCTGTTCGTAGGTTCATCGTCATCACCTGGGACTGCGGTGGCCAGACGGTGACACCTGTCTCGCCAACAGGCCAGTTGTAATTCGCATTGATGGCACAGTGGACTCTTACAGCAACAGTGAGCAGCAAAGCTTGTTCATGTCCTTTTTCACCTTAAATGGACACTGTTTCAACCAGCTACAAGATATACAGTTTGAGCCATAAACAGGCACACAGGCTCTTTTTTCCGCTCTCTGTCCAAAGCTGTACCCCAAAGGAGAAGTCCTTTCTTTTTTTTTTAGAAAGCCGCCACAGGTGTGCACTGACAATATAAAATGGACCATTTTATGGAAAAGGATTGGTCATTAGTGTGCTGTGAAAGATAAGGTCTAACGCGTTGAAGGTGAAGTGGATAAAAAGCATGTGGACAGTTTGTCATTTATTTTGCAGATATGTAAAGAATACTGACCAACTTTGATAATCAATGGCATGTAAATAATATATATTCCGCTTGTGCAAAGAATAAATGAAGAAATCTTTTTTATTACAATGTAAAATACCAAAATGAATGCTATTTTATGAACAAACACAAAAAAACATAAATATGTACATGGATAAATCATGAGGGTATTAACCGATAACAGCCGCTGTTGGAATGAAATTGAAAGCACAATACTACTTCAGTGCTAAAATGTGAACTTCCTTCATCCTAAAAAATGTTTCAAACTGCATCAATGTATCTAAAGAATTCAGAAAAAAGAAGGAGAAAAAAGGTGAAAGTAGTGTTGGCAGGTACACTTACAGGCACAGAAACTCTAAATTAACTGATGGATACACTGGGCAAATCAGCCTTCACACCAAACTGATTGCACACCTTCTTCAGCTGCTCCTCCAAAAGAATATTCTTCTTTACCTCAATGTTATAATTGTATTTCAAGTCCTCAAGCTCTTCAAAAAACGTTGGGTCAAAATTCCCCAGTTCCTTCCTTAGCTTCTTGACCTCCGTTTGGAGCTTGATTTTCTCCATCTCAGCAGTCTGGAGGAGCCTCTTTAGTTTCTCGTAATCTGAAGAAGAAAACAGCATAAATCCCCACAGCATCTCCACATAATTAGTTTCACAGATGTTCGTGTTGATTGATAGATTAAGTGGAAACATGCAGTCATTGACAAAGATATTCCTGATAATGTAGAGACATTTAAAATGTTTGTGTTGTTTGATGTTAGAGGGAAAATGTTCCAACAGTGTTATGTGCAGTCTCACCAGGTGTGGAGGATGCTTCACCAGCTTGCTCTCTTATCTTTTGTTTCAGTGCCATGCTCTCTTTCTCCAGCTCAATTGGCACCGCCCTTTAGATAAAGGAAAAAGTAAGATTGTATTAATCATACCCAGAAAGAGCAGGTAAAATAAGGATCATGAGGAAACGGGATCCTGCCTTGCTTGTCTGAACACGAGAAAATGATGGAGGTCTGCATAGTTTTACAAAGTTTTAGATTTGCACAGTGTGTAATGCCTTCTCCAGCTCATGCAGTAAATCATATTAAAGGTAAGGTTAAATAGAAATTCCAGAATTTTTTTGTAAAAACTACAAAATTGAGCTGTTACGGCCTTATTTCAGGTTCCATTTTGTAGTGCAGAGTTTACCGGTTATTGGTTTCATAACCAACTGAAGTTTGTTTCCATTTTCATATATTATTGAAAATAAAGAGTTGATTCTAAATGTTGACTTTGAGCTTGCTAAGCAGTTCATTTGAAGTACCCTAGTAAGAAATGTTAAAAACAAAGTAAATGGAAGACGATTTAATTTAAAACTAAATAAGCAAATAAATGGATAAATATACCATGAAAAGGGGAGGGACGTCTTGTTTATATTTATTGCTTTATTTTAAATCCACTGTAGTTGTTCTTGTGAATATCTTTCCAAATCAGAGAAACCCCTCCTACTTACTGAAAATGGCACACCAGTATTACTGTGATCTTCTATGAACTTACCTGAGTTCTTTGGGGTGTCCTGTGTTACTCCTTGCAGCTGCAGGGAACCTTTTTAACACGTCAATCTAAGAAATCAGAAATGCAAAACCACAAGAACACTCAACTATAAAGTGAGATGACAAAGATTACAGAAAGGCTAGAGTCTGAAGGATTTCTTGCAAACCAAGATCCATTCATTCATTCGCTACAATGAATCTGTGACAAAATTCAATGCATTACAGTATTTACAGTTTCACATGTTTTACAATTTGCCACCATAAAGTGACTTTATGTCACATAATCAAAGATATGAAGCGTAGAGGTAGAATGCTTTATTTTAGAATCGTATCGGTATTGTGCATTGCACAATATTTTTTTTTTATCAATTTAATGTAGCTACTGGAGCTAATTTCCTTTCTTAATTGCATGGTTTTATCTACTCTTTCATTAGTAAGTTGTAACTGCATTTTAATCATCTAAATAAGCACAATTCAAATTAATATTATTAAAACCAACAAGGTTTCTGTCTTTCTCTGTTTCCTACTCACTGCTTTAAGTCTGATTCCAATGTAAGCATGTTACGAGAGGGCTGGAAAGTCTTTACAAGCAATCCCAAAAATAAACAAATGTCTGTAAGCTACTTTTCAGACCAACAAGCTCAAAGTTGCTTAAAATAAGCTGACCTGACACCTGTGCGTGTTGTTGTCCAAACCACGTCCCCGCTCAGTGTTTTTAGAAGTCGTGTTAATCCCTGTATTCATTAATCCCTACATTCAAACCAACCCTGAAGCCAAATCTCAGAGCTGGAAATTCCAGGTCATAATGTGCCTCATGTGCTGTAAGATTAAAAAGTGAGTTATGGCTCTAGTTACCGAACCAATTTGTTAATTAGCCAGTACCTGATCTTCAAGTTGTCGGACGCATGTCTGAGCTCTTTCCTCACGTTCCATCACCTCCTTCAGCTGCTGTTTGACTTCAGAAAGGGAGGTGGACTTCTTAGAGAGCTCCTTCTCCAGCTCCTTCATCTTGTTCTCAAACATTCTGCCGGTGGAAGTCATGCATTGGCTCAGATACAGCATCCTGTAAATTCTACTCCAGGTTACTCTATCTACTTACAAGAACTCAGAGTAGCAAAGATGTGAAAAAAACACATTTAAACTGAAATTAATTTATCAAAAAAGGCCGACAGAAGCTCTGGAAATCTTTGACATTTAGTTGTCCTGAAATGTCCTTTTAAAAATATTTTATATATGGGCTGCATTTGGTCCGTCTTTGGTCTCTATAATCTCCCTTTCAGGAAAATCTGATGGGCTTCTTAAATGGGTTAAGTCTGCCGTAAACATCCATTTATCCAAGGCTTGGAATCGCTAACCTGGTTACTACGGATGCCTTTCCGGCTTTGCTGTCCGTGCCCTCTGTGACGGGTCTGGAAAGAGCCGCCAACAGTCTTTGCTTGGTTTCCTCCAGCTCTGCTTCAAGCTTCTCATTGGTCACTTCCAGACTTGTCTTGGTCACTCTCAGCTTCTCAGCAGCCTCCATTTCCTGTAGCAATTTTCCAAGTGACACAATACTGAAGGGTGATTTAAAAATGAGACACACCTCTGCCCATGTGACATATCCTCAGGGCATAAATAATACATAGGTACCCTTTTGATCTCCTTGCGTAGACGGTCATTCTCCATCATTATCCTCTCCAGTCCTTTGGTTTTAGCCTCAAGTTTAGAAACCATCTCAGCTTCACTTTGATGCTTCAGTGTCTCATAATCAGCCTAGAAGGAAACAGCATTTACAGAATTCTGACGAAGAAAAACACAATGGCGTATGACTCAGAAGATTCTTACTACCTTTAGTTTTTCCATCTCTCTCTCTAAAGCTGTGGCTTTGTCTCGGCTCGCAGATACACTGGATCTCTTCAGCGTCTCGTTTTCCCTCTGTACTCTCTCCACCACCTTCTTCATCAATCCGATGGTCCTTTCGAGCTCAGGTACCGTTTTACCGCTGTGACCAGCCTGATGAGGAGCACACAGCAAATCACACGCTGAAGCAACAGGAGGGTCGATTTAAATGTCCACAATGAGCCTCAGAGGAGTTGCAATCATCATGATTTATTCTTAAATACCTGCGTTTCACTATGTCTCTTGGGGGATTTCTGGTAATATGCTTACTACAACTAAAATAACCTGTAGCTTTTAGAATGACTTACCTCCCGTATATGTGCCAACTTTTTCTCAACTTCTGTCTTCTCCTTTTTTAGTGCACTGCACAACTCCTTTAGATCTGTGACCTGATTCTGTATAAAAAAAAATAAAACATAACACAAGGAGAGACTGGATTTCACAAGTCAAACATTCTTGGAGAGAACATAAGTTGCTCTTGCCCGAATCAATATAATTTTAAAAACACTTCAAGTTTGATCAAAACTGCCCATTCAAAAAAGTGGATTGAAGCCCATCCACAGACATAGCCACAGCTTATTTATCAAAAGCAGATATACTCAAGATAATTCCACAGCAGTAAAACCAGATAAAGGTACCGTACTTCAGCAGGGCATAAAAATATTTTTCTCTGATTTCAAAATAGTTCCAAAAAGTTGCAAATAATCAGGTTAATTGGCAACAGGTCAGTAACATAAATGGTGTTGAAAAGAGCCCCTTAGAGAGTTAGATTAAAAGTAACAACAATGTGGAGCTATTTGGGAAAAATGATCCCATATGTCCCCACTGATTCACAGAATCTGGAAGCATTCCGATTCACGAGTGATGTGGAAAAAAAGACCCTCCCGGATGTTGTATTCCTTTATAAGATCAACACCATCCGTGGAAACAACCATCTGGATTGTACCTTGATTCTCGGTAAGTCTTTGTTGTTCTGCTCCAGCTGAAAGCGCAGCTCCAGGTTCTCGGAGGCCAGCCGGAGGTTCTCCTTTGAAAGGTCTGGGTCTCTCTGTGATGGCGTGCCGGTGCCTCGCCCTGATGTCTGCAGACCGGAAACGGGGACATGATACATTGAAGTGAGCAAATCACTAAAGCTGCAGTGAAGGAGTCTCAGGACAGGTTAGCTTTTTTGGATAAATGTTCTGGGGTGTGTTGGGGATAACAAACGGAAACCATTGAATCCTAAACAACTACAAAACAGGAAGCATCTCCTCTGGTTTGGCAGAAACCCTCTCTAGTACTACCACAGCACAACTAATTCAGAAGGGTAACAAAAGAAGCCAGGGTACCTTTAGATTTCTAAGAGATCTGCTTTCCTGTGTTTGTGCACCATCTTCTCTCTCTCTAATACTACTCCTCTCTAAGTATGTATCCACATCTGGCTGTTTAAATTGGTTGTCCTCCTCTGTTGCCTCTTTTGTGCTCTCATCCTCCTCTTCCTTCAGCTCAGCCACTTCCTCAGTGGTTTCTGGCATCTCTGATTTCACTCTAGAATCATCATCATCATCCCTTTCTTCACAACCTTGGTCAAAAACTTCTTCTTTATTGACTGGTTCACTTGTTTCATTGCCCGCGGCTGCGTCTGAAGGAGCGACCAATCCCAGCCCTCTTGGTGAATCATCCAGCTCAGGCTCATTTTCTTGTGCGGATTGCGGCTCACTCTGTTCTTCAGGCAAGGAGACTTCACCACCACCGGGGACGTCTTCTGCTCCCGTTTCCCATTCTTTCTCTTTAACCAGATCATTACCAGCGTGTTCTTTTGTGAGCATGTCTGCTCTGTGGTCCGCCGTGTTTCCTGCCACATAAGAGCTCAGGTGCTCTTGTTCAGCACCAATATCTTCCATTGCCAAAAAGCTGGTTTGAGTCTCTCTCTCTGCCCATGTTTGCTTTGGCACCCTCTGTTGGCAAAAGGCGTCCTCAGCAGCTTCGGGATTAACAGAGAGGCCGCCGGGCTTCAAATGACATGCGGCTGAATTCTCTTTGCATGGCCCATCCTCAACGTCAAAAGTGACAGACCGAATCCCTCTAAAATCCTCGGAGGAAATACTTCTTCCCTTCACAGGCAATTAATCAAATTAAATCCAGTGATGATGCAGAAACATTTAGAGAGAGAGCAAAGTATAATGAATACAAAGTGGAACACAGGCCAATCCACACATCTTGCTATAAATGTCTAAAACAAATTTAATAGAGTGACAGCCTCGAAATCTAACACTCATTTATTAATGACTTACAACGGAGAAGTTTAAATGTTTTAAGATTCATTTTGATGCAAAGAGATCTTTGTGTTAAATGTTTCAGATATAATAATGAACTTATCACTTACAGAGGGTCTTGATGGTGGCTCTTTAGACACCAGACCTTCTAAGGAGTGGATCCTTTCCTCCAGGAAGTTGTTACTGAGCATCAGGCTCTCCATGGCCTCATCGCGAGGTAAGGCCTGCTGCTGTCTGTGGGTTCAATAAGTTAAAGCATTCTGTTGGGTGACATAATACTAATTGTGTTGCATTATATACATCATCCCTGGCATACATTACAGTTTAAGCAGACGTCAGCAAAATGAGGTCCATTATTGCTTGAGGGAACAGTTATTTTATGTCATTTTTGTTAATGTAATCTCTACCAAAATGCTACTTACAACATTTTAAAGTTTGAGTGTTCTTAGTTTCTGCTGTTAAGGACTGACAAATTCCCAAAACCAAGCCCAAACCATGCATTTCAGAGACATTGTTAGACATCATAAGTATGAGAATACAATTTACACACTCCAGCAAGTTGTATAGGTCTGAAGTAACTTATTCTTGTAGCTTAACTATTTTCAGCCAATTCTCACGTGGGTCTAATAACGATAAAGCGTGTTGATATATTTCAAATAACCATAAAGCAACATTCCGAGAAATTTAGATGCTAGATTAAAAAAAAGGTATGCTCATTAATCTCTGCTTTCAGAATCAGACAGCTATCCAGTTATTTGGATAAGAATGTGAAATTTATGATCTTCTTTTAACAAGCCAACGTCTTTGGCTCCTATTTGCTAAAGATAAGTTTACAAATGATCTTTTTACATGTCCTCATTTATCTTAATCTGCAGATCTGGAACTCATTAAACACCTAACTGGCTTCTACATCAGGAATGTCTGAACCAGGAAATGATACACATGGAACCATTTAATATACAAACCAAAAATCAAAAAAGGATTTCAAGAAGGCAAAAATGTGTTTCATATTTCAGTCTCTTAAAAGCATCCTTTTGCGTGAATGACAGTTTTACACATTCACAAATGGAGAACTGAGAGACCTTTGCAGGTCGGTTATCATCACATGCAAGCTCCACCAACTTTAAATGGCTGACGCATCTTAACAGCACTTGCTGGAAGTGGACTGAGTGAATTGGGCTGTAAAGGTTTAATTGCTGCAGTGAAACCACTTCTTTAACAGGCAATTAAAATGAAGAGACAGACACTAGATTGGTGGAAATGTGTACTCGGCGTTTAACTGCTCTGACAGCTGAAACGGGAAAAGAGAAAGGATGGTGACTGTGTGTGTGATCTCCAGTGTGCACTGCAGAGCAGGTGTGATGGCCTGGGGTGCGCGCAGGACTGGTATCACTTACATAGCTCTTTGCAGGACAATGTTATTCTGGGTTTGGTGCTTTGTGGCACTGATACATACTTTATAGTTTCAATTTGTGTTTCCAGCACTGTGTTCTTCTTCTTCAGCTCGTCTAACTCCCTTTCCACTTCAGCTGACCGCACTCCCACAACGTGATCGGCAGTCACACATCGAAGCTTCATTTTTCTTTGCAGCGCTCCCTTCTCTTGCTCCAATCTGCTTGCAAAACAAAATAAACAAGGCGGACTTAACAGAGAGCTATGTGACAGCTCCACTGACAGATGTATGGTTTTGTGTAAACACTGAGGAAAATCAAAGAAACCTGTACAAATCTGGGAGTGTGACAAACACACTGACCTGGCAAAAAGGTCTTTAAGGGTGCTGAGCTGCTTCGACAAAGATTCATTCTCTTTTTCCTTCTCCTTCAGTGAATTCTTCACCTTTTCCATTCTGGCTTGCCATTTCTTGCCTTCCTCCCACCGCACAATTTCCTCTTTAGTCTGTCAGAAAGGAAAGTCCATCATCAGCAGAGCATCATTGACATAAAGGAGAAGGTCTCAATAGAAAGATACTGGGTACAGATGTTATCAGAGTCGCTCTTATTCATCCACTTTTTCTTAAGATTTAGACTTTCAACATTCCTCTTAAATAACAAAAAGTACATCTTCTTCCTTTTAATATTTGGTCAATATTTGGTAGGCCAAAAATGTTTTGCTTTCATCGAACCTTTCCAGGTTCATCCTTAACATGTTTCTGGTTGACTCTTTTCTCCAATTCAGACTCCAGCCTTCTGATCTTCCTCTGCATATTCTCGATGATAGGCCCTTTCCCATCTGGTTCTGGTTGACTCTATCAACAAACACAGAGAGATATGCCTCATTTTTTTTTAGAAAGGTACAGATGAGATGGAATAGTTTTTCATTATTTCAAAGTTTAAAGGAGGGCTGTAACTGGATTAAAAGTTCTGTCCCGGGAAGCATTCTAAATCTCAGTACTGTGTGGTGCTGACCTACAAGAATTCTTGAGTAATTTATTCATACAGACAGCATCCAGTGTTCATCTTAAATATAAGAAGAATGTTTGATCCCATTCTTTATGCATAACATTTTTAAAAATGTATCTTAATTTGCTATGATATATTTATATACTATAAATAATCTATATTTGCTATAACCCTATAAGGGGTTGCATTCCTCACACCTTGATAAGGTAATAATATTTCAATGTCTTTTACGTCATGTTCAAATTAGAGGTTTTAAATCTTTTGTTCCCATGATGTGATGGCATTGGTGACTGTGTCATGTGGCAGTTTAGAACAACCAAGGCAACAAGAGTACCTGTACATTCCAAACACCACTGGCTGCTTCTGCACGAACAGATACAAACCTGAATAGCATCGGTGAGCCTCCTGACTTGCTGCCGGAGCTCCTGGATCTCTTGCTCCTGCTCCTCTTTTTCAGCCTGCAGCTGTTTCTGGGTTCTTTGACATCTCTGGATCTCGTGGTTCAGCCGTTCTGCTTCATCTTTCAAGATGTTTTCCCGGCTTCGAGCTTTTTTGGCAGAATCTTTTGCCCTTTGTAGTTCTTCATTAAGTTCTTGTACTTGTGCCTTTGGACAGAAAAACAATAACATAAAAAGAAATCCTTATACCATCTTCAATGACATGAAACAATGCTTTCCATAAATCACACCTTATATTAAAGAGCATTCTGAACGATTCCATCAAATGTGGAGGGTTTTAGGTTATGATGTGAATGCATGGAGGATGCATTGCTGTCATATAAATCAGAGCACATCTGGAGCTGATGTAGGAGAGCAGACTGTAATAAGATGTACGGAGGCATTGGAATGTCACAAATGAAAGGTCAGCATATTCTAGTCTTTTTAGAAGCAAAGGTGACCAGGATAGGCTATTTGAGAGCTGTCAGGATTAATATAGAAAAAACAACACACTGATCACAGGCAGTGAAAATATCTAATGAAATTGTGACAAGTGGAAAAAAAATGGTTTTGACTGGGGTGTCTTTACAATGTGTGCACACCAGAGGAGTCACTGAATGTAACTCTGGGATTGACATTCTTTTACAGAATAACTTGGTAGGTTTGACATTTTTTACCAAACATTTTCGACATCTTGCTTTTGGCTTGTTAGGTGAATGGAGGATTTGCAGTAATATATATATAAAAAATCACTTAAATGAAATGCATTCTATATGGCAAAAACTGTGACTGTACTATTCTAACAAATTGAAAGTCAGTAAAAAGACATGCTTTGTTTTGCAGTTGTCAGGAATACCCCTCCCGGCATTTTTAAAGACACCCCACAGCTCTCCAAGCTACCTTTTGATTGGTTGAGCTCTGAGGTCTGGAGAGGATTCCTCATTAGACTGGTGTCACTAATTTTTCACAAGTTTTGTATCATTTAGCATAGCTATACATTTTCTTGTTTGCTGTTTCCCTTCCTTAAGAATGGCTGCTTTACAGACACTTTTACATGAGGTCCATGTTTCTGAGCAGGTTCTGGCAAACATTACTTTTAGATATACTTTTCCACTTATTTCTTTTGTCTCCCAATTGCCTGTTTCTTAAGTTTATTGTTTGCTTTTTGGACACACATAGTAATCATAGTATTTTGAGAATCACATTGTAAAAAATTCCCTCTCTCTCAAGGTTTGTCATCTTTGGAATTTTTGTTCGACAGTAAACTAAATATTTAGTTCTTTTTGTTTTGGCAGGCAGCTTGTAACAAACAGCCTAAAAACCCTATTCAACATATTTTTTCTGTCATGATCATTGTACTCTTGTAACAATTGTAACACACTTGCTCATCCCCTGAGTTACGTTTCCTTTAATATAGCTGAATAATTCACAGGTCTGACTTTGGTGCCCAAAACATTTAATATTTCAAGGAAATTAACTGAAAGAAAGAAAGATTATTACTCAGAAGAACCATATAAAAAAGCCCAAAACTAAAATAAATCTGATCAGAAATTTTGACAGAGCACAAATATTAAGGATCATTTTACTACCTGGTGGAAACAGCTGTGCTGCTCATTTTGAGCCAAAGCCACATTCACATGCACTAACAGGTGCATCAAATGTGAAACAGTTGAAAGTAGCAGCAGATTAAATCAATTTATTGAGTGTAACCTTCTAACATATTTCTGTCTTCTATGTCATGTCACATAAACTATTCATTTATCTATACGTGTGTGTTCTTTTTTAAAGTCTCCAAATAAATCACAATAATGACATCCACTGGTGCAATATATCTCTGTATGTATCTGGTCAAGCCTCTCTTGAGATAAATGGTGATTAATAAAAGAAGCCAAGTCCAACTGGAGTCAGCCAGATGTCAGATAGCTGTTTGTGCACAGGGGTGGGCGTATACTGTGTTCACCAGCCTCACCTCATGACCGGCTTACATTCATGTAGATGCTGCAAGTGGAGCCAAGAACATTGGACTGTAAATCAAAATGGGAAAAAAAGCACCTACAAAAGATTGTTGGCAGTTAAAAGCCAAGGTAATTTATTTTCCTTTCACTTTATTGAAGACTGTGTCGTAAATTTGGTTTCTGTTTGTTTAACTTGAATGATCTGACTGAGAAATCTTTTCGTTGAATAATTGCCTTGATAGTGAATGTATCATGGCTTGTGTATGAAAAACAGGTATGCGGTGCTAATGTGGAGCTCTCACCTTCAGGTCTTTGGTGTGTCTGTCAACCAGTAACTGGACATTAAGGCTTTCTTCCTTCTGTGCAGCGCTTGCTATGACCTGCTTCTCTGCGGCTGATGTCATCTCTGCCCGCAGCTCCAACAGAGCCTTGCTGAGAGCCTGAGAAAATAATGCATGTCTCTTGTAGCTTTATTTTGTTTGCACTCATTATTATTATTATCACTGTTGTTATTGGTCATAAACACAAAACTTGTTTTCATATGTTATTTTAAATAGTTGAGACAAATATCAAAGTACACGGCTTTGAATAGATTTAATTGTCATCCTTAGAGCGGAAAACAGAAGTACAAGGGGGAAAGTATAGGTAGAAATAAATATTTTTTCACGTAAAAGTGAGCCTGCCCAACCATTTTATGAGAGTTACTTTAAAAGAAAACCGACAAAATGGAAGGAAAACCTTGAGCTGCTTCTCCTTCTGGGTGAGTTGTGCTTTAAGCTGTTCCACAAGGTTTTTCATGGTGTTGCTGGGAGAGCGAACGTTGGATTCCTTCTGGGCCTCCAGCTCCGTACGGAGATTATTGATTTCCTTCTCCATTTGAGGTATTTGACTCCTTTGATCTTCATTGTCGCCACTTAAGGATTTCAATTGGGCAACATAATTCTCCTCTAGCCTGTATAAAAAAAATTTGATAGCAACTAGTTTACTCTTATCACATAACACAACATACTTATTTGTTGAATAAGTATATTATTATGTATTATGCAAGTCAATTTGGATAAAAGCGTCTGCTAAATGCATAAACATAACAACATGTAAAGAAGTTTCCACCAGTTTTAAGTTTTATTTTGCTCTCAGGTTTATTCTACATCACTGCAGGGTCCATTTTAGCTAAAGATATTTCCCTTTAAAAAAATCTTCTGCAATCTGCAATCTCATAGATCATGTCGTTAGTAAAACTTTTTTCAGGTTCAAACTTCCAACCCAAGACAGTACACGGTGGATAAAGTCCAGCTTGATTAGAATGGCCATACATAAGAGCCAAAGAAACATACCTGCACTGCACTGTATCCATGCTGGGATTCTTTTTCCTTGATTGATTTATGACTTCATAAATATTTGTGCTGAATAATATTTCAGAAATGTTCACAGGTTCCTGACTGTGTCAGAGATACTCACTTTGCCATCTCCTCGACATGTTTTTTAGCCTGTGCCTCCATGTGTGACCTCTGTCGCTCCAGCTCAGCGGCAGTCATCTTCAGCTTTTCTGTAACGGAGCTCAGGGAGATATCCTGCTCCGCCACAGTTTGCTCTAACTCGGCCAGGCGCTCTAGGTGCTTGGAGGTTGGCACCCTGAGAGTGGGCTTCTTCATCAGCTCCTGGACCAAAAGGAGGAAAAGTTTAAGAAATAAAAAAATCTAATAAGTATTTTTTTTTATTTCTGAAGAAGTGTTTAGTAAAATAAAACCAATTTAGTTTTGCCAGTAAAACTTTTTGTTTTCTTTTTTCGCCTGTCCAGTGGAGGAAATAACTTTAAGCTTTCAGCACATGGTTCCGAAATATGATTTGTAGTATAAAACATTAAATGGTGGGATTAAAAATTGACCAGCAGCTATATAAGGAATTTCAGTACGAGGCTCAGCTGTATCAAAAACAAACAAACAAAATATGTTGATGTTGCATTAAGCTTCAGCCAAGTAACACCGAGTCTGTATAGGCAGAGTTGCAAGAAAAGGACTGAACCATCGCTGTCTGTTTGAAGCGGTCCAAAGAGGTGTCTGTGTACGAGTCCAACTTCTGATGCAACATTCTCAATTCCTCCTGGTGCTTCTTTATCATTTCTTCCTGATCCTGTATAGACGAGACAAAGCTTAATGGAACAAACAAACACGTAAATAGAACAGAAATAAGTCGAAATCTGACTCTAAAAAACCAAAAGGGGTTGATTTCTAACATTCCCTTTTCTTAGTCAGGACAGCAATGACAGTGACTAACAGAAACAATAACTAATAAAAAGCCCTGAATACTGAAATGCCATTTTAACTGTACCCGTCTTGCTTGAGACAGCTGGTTCTGATATTTCTTTAAAACATCTTCTTTTTTATTAAGCCGAGCCTGAAGGTCTTTGATGGTTTGGTGAGCCAGCTTGAGGGTAGGCTGAGGATCTGAATGGCCCTCTTCATGCTTGGCGAGGTCTGTTAGCAGGCGCTCTCTGCTGGCACTGGCCGGGAGTCGAAGACGCAGCTCGTTGATGACTCTATCTCGGGAAACGATGTTCTGTTCTGCCTTCCACAAAGCTTCTTCCTTCTCTTTTAACTTCTGCACATGAAAAAATTCTTGATTAGCACTCACTGATAAAAAAAAAAAAAAAACGATTGGTTAATTTAACTTAGAGCTAATGCTGACTGTATAAAGAAATACTAAATACTGTGCCTTGTCCAAACTTTTGCAGGTGGCCTGAGTGTCCACAATGGTGCGGACATGTTCTCTGATTTTACCCAAAGCGAACTCCAACTGTTGAGCAAGAGGTAGCATTGGGTCTGGGAAGGATCCAGCCCCCTCCTCAAACTGAACAAAAACAAATATATTACGTGTTAGAGACAGGCTTAATGCTGGGAGTGGCGCCTGCTTAGGTAAAAATACACCTGATCCATTTCATCATAAAATTCATAAAGCGTTGTCTTTTGCCTTTTCAAGCTTTACCTTTTTGTCCCCAGAGAGAATTTCATTCTGGTGTTTCTCATAGTGATCCAGTTGACGCTCCAACTCCACCTCTCTCTGATCCCATGCAAGCTGCTGTTCTTGTTGAAGCTTAAAAGGAAACATTGTTTCGCATTAAAAAAACACAAACCGCTGCTTGTAAGCAAATTAAGCCCCAGTAATCATTTCATATAGAGTATTGATACTGTTTATCAACACAAGGGCAATAAATGAGCAAATTCAGGATTCTGGGCGCGTTCAGTGTTTTTCTCTCACAGTGTTCAGCTGAACAATGTCCTCCTCCAGTGAGCGGATTGTACGGTCTTGCTCCTCAACAAGCTTCTTCAGGTATCGGATCTCCTCCCTCTGGGCTACTACCTCACGTCCCTTTCTCAGCTCCTGTAGGCGTGCCTCCTCCATCCTCTTGTGCCATTCTGTGACCTGTTTCACATCATACACCCATTTGTAGTCCACAGAAGAAATTTCATTTAAGCCATGAAATAATTGCAGTTTTTTCGATTTACCTTCTGAGCTCCTTTCACGTCCTTCAGTGTTGAGATGAGCTCCTCGAGCCCTTGGAGCTTCAGTTCCAGCTCCCCGGCTCTTCCCTCTGCCCTCCGCCTCTCCTCCTCCGCCTTCCTCCTCTCCTCCTGGGCTTTTGCCCGGTCCTCTTGGAGTCGCATCATGGTAACGGAGAAATTCTCTTGCTGGGAAAGGGGCAGTGCTCCGGCAAACTGCCTGCGTAAGGACTGGATGGTCTGTCGGAGATGCATGGAGCGATTCCTGCCCTCCTGGCGGGTCAGAAACAGGGCGCGCTCGCTGGCGTCCATCCGCTGCTCCGCACGCAGCTTGTAGGCCTCCAGCTGCTGGATGTAGGATGAGGTGGCCTCTAGTTTTGACAATGCTGCTGACTCATTGAGCTGAAGAGCCACGATGTGCTGGTGGAGCTTCGCAATGAGAGCTTTTTCATCTGACTGTGACTAAGGAAAACAGATTCAGGATTTAACCTTTATTTCTGTACACAAACCACACTTTCTATTCCTTTATTATGTTGACAATAAGCATGATTTGCCATTTAACAGAACTAATAGCAAAAGCTAATAGGAAAACATTTGACCTCTGCACAAGAAAAAAAAAAACATTGTTACCTGGTAATCCAGTATTTGCTTCCTCAAAGCTTCTACTTCTTTATCTTTAGACTTCTGTTTGGACTGTAAAGTGGAGACCTGCATCATGGCCACATTTGAAACCTCTTGAAGCCTGCACACACAAGGACACAAAGGATAGCTTGTGTAGTGTGATGAAGAAATCCATCCCTGATATTTTTCCATTTTCATTTTTGAAATTGAAAAAAATTAACAAAATAATTGCAACAATGATCTTAGTTATTGATTTTGGGGCGTCCCTGACTGGGAAACTTTGGCATACAGAGGAAATCATGCTTGATTCAGTGACAGTGAAGTACTCCAAAAAAAGCCCATATCATCAACTGTACATCTCTGTGCTAAGTGTGACGTGTTTGTGCTGTGCTTGGATTTGGTGCTTTATGACTAAATATCCCTACTTTGGTCTGGTGCTTAGATAAGAACATTGGAAGGAGATGAAAGAGCTCGTACTTGCTCAGCCTTTTTCAAATAGTTGGATTGTTAAAGTTCATGACACTACTGAGGACTGTATGGTCTGATTATGTAGTTCTCTAGTTTGTCTGCCGTTTCATGCACTGTTTCTATGTTTCTGCTTTTTAATGCAGAAATAACAAACATAAAAAATACAACTTATTGATGTGTAAATCTTTTTGTAAAACCTGATGAGAAGATGGGGATTTTTTGGTGTATGGATTCATAAATATTTTTTCATATGATGCTTTTACTGACTTTTAATTGACAATCACTAAAATAGATTTTACCATTTACAAGTTAAAAAATCTGTTAGAAGGTTGTTCAAAAAACCCTAAAATATTTCAAATAGAAGTCATTTAGTTACATAAATCATCAAGTTTCATTTCTTCAAAAAGAAAAATAATTCCAAAAGATCAATTATTGTTGATTTCTGCCAACCAAAACATCTCAGCTTCTCCCACTGCAGCTGTAATCAGGACAAGTTTATCTTTCTGACAACTTTAAAAACATTTCTCCTTTAATGATCTATTCACAAAGCAACGTCATGATTGCATACGAGGTTTTCAACAAAACCGTGAATCTCATGATAAGAGCATCAAACAAGCAATCAGATGCCAGGATGATATCGACACCATCCAAACTTACTTAGAAACCTCGATGCGTAACTCAGCCTCTGCCTTCTCCAGCTCTGCGATCCTGGCTCTGTCAGCATCGCTCGCAGCTTTGCTGATGCTATCCGCCAGCTCATCTCGCAGCTCCCGCTCAACCTTTTGGGCCGCTGCATTCATCTTGGTTAGCTGTGGATAGGCAAATAGAATGGTTTGATGAGAGTAAAAAATGTGTGGTGTTTAGCACCTACGAATCATGATATGGGGCAGTAAAATAAATTTCAGAGACCCATTCTGTTCTGATATGAGACAAATAAATTATATGAGCACCTGACAGGTGAACCGGACCACTTGGCAACTATCAAACTGTTTATTTGAACTCAGTTATGTTGTTAACCAATTTTTTTACTTTCTGAAAAAGAAAAACGCTTTGTCACTTACCTCTGCAAATTTGGACTCCAGCTCCAGGTTGCGCTCCTCAGCCTGTTTCAGGGAGTTCCTTGTGTGTTCATACATTTTGTGTGCGTGCTCAGCTCTCTGCCTTTCATTCAACTCCTTCATCTCTAAAGTGGTGAGACGTCTTGCGGTGTACAACATCTCATTGTTGACTGTCGCCTTGTCTGCCTTATCCATGCTGCTTTCTCCAGCTGAAAAAAAAGAAAAGCAGCAAGTTGAGTCTGACCCCAAATGATTTAAAAATCTTTTAATCTGCATCAGATGTGACTGATGTTCTAAGCAGCAGTGATTGCTCCTCTTGGGAGCGAGCCATAAATTCTTTCTGTTGCGGTTTTAGCCAAAATTCATAATGTTATGAAGACATTTTACTCTGTATCCTCATGGTCATGCAACAGACATATCAAATGCAATGAGCGATCACAAGGAAGCTAAACGTACTCAAGCTGTGAGATAAACATCTATCTTATTACAGCAGTGCATGCATGCTGGACAAAATAACAGATTAAAGCTCAGGAAGAAAGTCTACAGTACAACATATGTAAACACTGTCATTTTTGAGCTGGTGGGAAGCCTGGCCGGAGGCATCACTGTATCCCTGCTAATGTTTTGTTGGTAACATAGATGCCTGTAAATCACTTTGTAAATGACTAAGCCTTTCCTTAAATAGCTCTGAATCTGGTTGCAAATATTGTTTTTCCAGGACTAACAAACGCTTCGGAATACAAACACTGTTAGAGCCCATTTTGCTTTCATACTCCATATAAACAAAACAGCACATGTTTCTTCACAATATGGAGAGCTGCCCTGTTCGTACCAGCTGAGCTGATGTTCTCCCACGCTTGCTCCAACGCGTTCAATTTCTCCTTAGTGATCTCGAGCTCCTTATTCAGGCCACAGATTTGCTCTCTAAGAGACTCATTTTCACTCTGAGGGAAAGAACAAAAGCTTAAAGTACGAATAACACTGGTACATATATTTATATTGGAAATACTAAAGCAGATGACGTGTTAAACAAAACCTCCAAATGTTCAAGGTTGGTGGTCCACTGCATGAGGCGACTGTCCCGCTGTAGCATTTCTCTGTATCGGACTGTCAGTTCTGTGTATTGCTTATTAGCCTTCTCCAGGTCTGATGAGGGCACACTATCATCCAAGGCCTTTTGCAGGGCTGCCATCTTATATGCTGCCATTTCCTTTAGAAGAAACAAAAGAAAAACATTGTGAGGTAATGAGATAAAGGACTAAAAACAGCACAATTTAAGGTGCTTTAAGACAACATACTAGGTACAGTTTTGATAGTTTTGCTTGAACAGTTTAATATGATGAAGAAAGGGAGAAAAGATGGTGAAGGAGAGAGAAAACTAAGAAATTAAATGGAAATTACAGAATACTTCAATCACCAATATTACTGTTTATCAGACTTTAAAAAGGATTAAGCTATGATTATTTTAATAAGCTGGAAGGAATCAGTTTTACCCTGTCACAGTATTGATAACAACAATTTAGAGCAGATGTGTGAAGCATGTGTTGGTGAGCAAAACAGTAACTGTCCAACTCCCTGAAATTCAACTTGGAGAGTCAGTTTTGCTTTTATATCCAACATGTTTTGCTTTTAAGTCTTTGTTACCTGGACCTATGCTTCTACGCTGTTCTTCTTCATGTAACATCTTTTCTCAGATCTACCAAAACCAAATCTAAAGTAGTACTGAGGTCTGAGAAGTTTTCTATTCAGAATTCACAATTCAATTAAAAACCTAAAGAATTTAAGACAAAACTGCAAGCAGATGGATTAATTGGAAGTGTATACACCAAGAGATTCTTGCTTTTAGACCTGTGGGACATATTTATTTTTGAAGTTTGTTTGGTGACTTCAGATATAAAACAAAGGGGAGCAAACATCTGTGGCATCACAGTCACAGCATTTAACAGAGCCAAAAACAGCAAAAGAGGAGGCTGGAGGACTGTAAAAAAGATGTCATAGATGGAAAAATAAATGCCTGCAAACATGCTAAAATACTGTCTGAAGATATGTTTTAAGATGCTTTTCTGAAAAGGAGACCACCATGATAATCCAGAGCATGCAGCTAAAGAAAGTATCTAAAGAAAAAGGTGTCTCCTCACTTCAAAATGAAACACATACGTTTTTGGACATAAAGCTGAAAAAACATAAGGGAGGGAGGTAACAGGTAGAAAAAAAACAGAAAAGAGCAAAACAGTAGAACTGCTTCTTCCTTAAGAAATGTGATTGTTTTGTTGCTGTAACCACAATGTTCTGTGTATTTTCAGTGTGGCGCATTTTCACAAGGCGTTCAACTTCTTTCATAACGTAGAGAGGGAAATCATTGGACGTTTAAATATATATTTCACAAGTCATATGACCTAAGTCGTATAGTGGAGACACCTTCATCTAGTTAAATGATAGACCATGATGATTTGACTAGTTCTCTCTTGAAAAATAGAGGAAATATTTTTGTGGCTACCTTGTATCTTTGCAAGTAACCGATCCTCTGCATGACAGAAACATGCATTTGGTTGCTTTCGTCCTTCAACTTGCTGTTTTCCTTGCGGAGGTGCTCTTCTTTCTCCAGCAGGACGGTGTAACGTCGCGTCAGCTTCTTCTCGTTCACATTCAGCACTGTGAGCTTCCGAAATACTTCGCTCAGCTGTCTTTTGATTTCCTCCGGGTCTCTTTGAAGGGTATCCAGCAAGTCCTGCAAAACGAAAGAGTTTCAATGAAACTGAACGTGGGCCGGAGCTGCGACGCATGTTGGAACCAATGCCATCCAAGATTTCCTGAGGTGTTTGACATTTACTGAGTGAAAAGATGTCTGGGGGAAAGTCACATTCAGTACAATATCATGGTTTCTCACACTGAACAAAAAATGTTTGTATGTGTGTGCATGCATGTGTGGGGTGCGTCCTGCAGTCTTAAACTTCTGTTTATTATTCAAACTTACTTTCAGCTGCTGGATTTTGACATCATCCACCTGCTTTTGCTCCTCTAACTTGCTGTTTGTCTCTGTCAACTTGTCTTTCTCTTTTTGCCAGGCGTCCTTGTCGCTAAAAAATAAGATAAAGTTCTTCTTGTTTTTTTCCACAGATCTTGCACTTTTCATTTAACTAACCATTTAAATAGTCAAATTAACCCACCTTTGATAATCTTTATAAAGGAGTCCTTGTTGGTGGCTGATAACAGCAAACTTTTCTTTGTATTCCTCCAGCGTTCCAATAAGCTTTTTGCTTTTTTCCTCCTTGTTTTTCAGCTCCTAAATAGCAGCCGTATTGTATGATTTTCTTTTGTTTTTTGACAAGTATTTGATTTACAATTATTTTAGGCGGGCACAGTAACACTGACCTGAAGAAGTCGAACAGCGTACTCATTCAGGGAACTGATGACCTCAGTGCTGCCGGGTCCCAGACCCTCCGGGAGGGTCAGAGGCTGGGGGGCAGATCCACGGCTGCCCGACTGTCTGAGCAAGTCTAATTCACCTCCCAGCTGGCTCACCTGAAAGTAATAGGGGAGAAAAATGCCAACAATTGCCAAGTGGTAAACCGTTTGTAACACAAGCACCATCAGTTTCACAGCAAATATTTTCTTTACAAAAGCATGTTCCTTTCTTTGCCTCTAGGCTAGGAGATAGTCTGTCACAGAAGTGTTTATAGGTCAGGTAGTGCAATCTGTGCTGGCAGATACAAAAACCACAAAAAACAAATAGCCTAAAAGAAGTTAAAACAACAAACATAGCTCTTCTCAGATCATTCTTTTCCCTCTTTTAAGCACACATTTAGAAGGATGAAGTATATCTACTTTCTATTGCTTTTTGCAGACTCTAATTTGGCATTTAATCTATGCTATTTCGCCATTTCCGTCAATGTTTACAAGCGTAAATTGGAATGCCAAATTATTAGCCGAATACAAAATCACATTTTTCCTAACTAAGTGGAAAAACTCAATAAATGACCTACAAGCCATGTGATATTTAAAGGGACAAAAGTTTGCACCATTTATTTTTATATTCATGGACGTATACATTTTGTTGCTGGGATGTCATAACAATCCTTCGATCTGGGTGCAGAGGAATGTAACAGGCTGTTCATGAATATGTACTAATTACCCATAAAAAAGGAAACAAATACGTTTTTAAATTAAGTCAAACTGAAGTTGTCTGATACTTTCTTTGACGTGCAACGGAAAAAAAAAAAACAGACTTTAGATCAAAGCATTTTACGATGTCACCCACAAAGCAGCAGAGTTCAATATATACATTTACAAAGCAAACTGAGGTAGCCCCCAGGAAGAGCCAGGACATGCTGGAGAGACTGTCTCTCAGCCTTGAAACAACTTGGGATACCCCCCTCCCCCCGGGGTGCAGTCAGGGAGAAAAAAGTTTAGGCTTCCCTGCTTAGGTTTCTGCCCCCGCAGTCAAGACCTGACTAGACTTTACCCATTCACACACACCCACACACACATACACTACACCCTGGGGAAGGGGGTGTGATTGGGCAGGGGTCTTTGGGCGGCTGGGGTTGCTCGGAGGGTTGTGCTCCATAATATACAAGGTCACTCTTGATGGACATTATTGTGTGTTTCAACCAAACACCGCCTCGATATCAAAACAGCTCACTTTCAACAGAAAACAACTAACGAGCAGAGAATGAATATAAGTACTGGACTTTTACATGGACATTTAATTTTAAAATTCTTTCTGATAGTAGGCTGTATTAAAAAAAAAGTAATCTTATAAGAATTGCAATGCTGAATTCCAGTCTCAAATATTTCAATTCAAAACGTGTTCAAAACCGTACTTTAAAATGTGATGCCCACTGCTATATCATTTATTAAATCATGTGCATAATAATGTGATTAATGGGGATTCATCGAAAATAAAACATGTTAATAATTGGCCAGCACTAATTTTAACACTTGTGAACATACCTTCACATTGGCTTTGACCAGCTGACTGAAGCTGCTGGCGGCATCCTCACGGGCCAATTTCAGTTCCTGCCTCAGTTCTTCATTTCTACCCAACAACTGATGGACTTGAGAATTAAGATCAGTCCCAAACTGCCCTTCAATGACATCTATAACCTGTGAAGAGAATAAATCATCAAAGACAAAGGAGGTTAGCACATAGATAAAAAACAATCGGATTGTAGTCTGTGGAACAACAATAATGACTGAAGCCAGATCTCCTTATTCCAGAGTTTGCATGTGGCTGGTGGCTGATACTTTTGAATGACTCCTTTTTAACCCAATCATATCACTGGCAACAGTGATCCTGTTGCCAGTGTATGCCAGCATACACTATTTGTGTCATTGTCTTCCAACGATTCAGCTCCGTTTTGTTTGCAAGAGCACAAACCCAGTCTCGGTCTTAAATTTGTTGGACCTGAGCCCCGCCTTTTACTGAGTTCAACATGCGTTTTTATTACAAAGGTTAGCAGATTCGGTGGTAATCTCTAGTATGGGTTCAAATGGTTCAAGTCCTATCTAGAGGAGAGAAAGTACTTTGTTGAAACTGAAAACTGTGTCTTACACCAAATGGGTGTGACCCGTGGGCTTCCCCAGGGGTCAATCCTAGGACCCCGACTATTCAGTCTGTATAGACTTCCAATAGGCCAGCTAATATACAGCCATAATGGGTCCCACCACAAATATATAGATGACGCCTACAGGAGGAAACCTAGTTCAATAGATTCATTGTATTGCTGCATAAATAGGTTCATTGTGTGGGTGTACAACAATTGCCTTTAATTAAACTGAGAGTAAACTGAAATCATTGTCTTTGGTCCACAGAAACAAAGAAAAAGTGTTATCATTCACCTTGATACTCTCTCTATTGAACCTAATAATCAGTTAAAAAATCTAAGGGTAATATTGGACTCAGACCCGAAATTTAACAGCCCCATTAAATCACTATAATCAGCAGCTTTTCACCATGTAAAAAATGACGAGAATCTGAAAAATAGTGTCTAAACTTAAAAAGACAAATTCATGCGTTTGTCTCCAGGAGATTAGACTACAGTAACGGTCTGCTTACTGGACTGGACTTAAGACGAGCTGTAGACAGCTGCATAATATCCAGAATGCTGCTGCTAGAGTGCTGACAAGAACCAGGAAATATGACCATATTATTCCAGAGCTCAGTTCTCTGCACTCGTTTCCTGACGTTTAAAGAATAGAGATTAAACAGCTCTTTCTCCGTGGTCTACTGCCAAAGTACATCTCTGACATGTTGGAGCCATATAACCAACTCAAACTCTAAAAACTTCTGGTAGTGGTCCCCTGCTGGTGCTCAGAATTAGGACATAACAAGGTTATGCTGCGTTTCAGTGTTGTGGTCCTAAAATCTGAAAAAAAAAAAATTCTTAAAGAAATTATACAATCCTTGGTCCGACAATGCTTAAATCCAGGCAGAAAAAGGATCCTGTTTAGCTGTGCATTTGACAACTGAATGTATTTTATAAGCACTTTGTCCTTTTAATTGAATGAATTCATTTTTTTTTTTTTAAACTTTAGCGTTTTTATTTGCCTTTTGTGATTTTATGATGTAAAGTGCTTTAAAATGCCTTTTGTAAGAATTGTGCCCTATAAATAAACTTGCATTGCCTGTATATCAATCAGCTTTGGTACATTAGCAAATAACTTACATTTGACAGCTTTTTCATTCTAGGAATAGAGTCGGCATCCTTTACTTCCGCTGCCTGATGTTTTATCCTCATTGCCTTGAGAGCAGAATCCAGATCACTCTTCACCTTTGACAGTTCTCCCACTATGAGTTAACACATGGGAAAGAATGGGAACAGTAAAGCAAAAAAAGAGCTCTGAGATATTAAAATATTGAGTAAACCACAAAAACTGTGTTACAATAAATCCAGCAGTAAATTCAGCCCACATTGTGACTGGTAACTTACCAATAAATAAAATGTGTTTTGAAGAGATTGAAAAAAATCTGTCTTTCCCTTTGACTGCAAATCATACTTACATTTTAGCTGCAACTCTGATTTGTGAAGTTCCAGTTCTCTCTCCTTATTGCTCAGCTCTTTTTCAAGGTACTCGTTCTGTAATGAAGAGTTTCTGTTATTTGAAAGAAGTGAAGAAAATACCGGTACCTCTAATGTCTGGCTTAAATAAACAAAATTCCAACAGTGAAAGGTCATTATTCATTGATTTCCTGACAACTTCGACAACTTGTATTCTTTTTTCTTTATTTTTCTACAAGGTCCATTTGTGTGTCTAAAACCTCTGATCGTGTGAAGTGCAGGAAAATCTACTTTCCCAATTATCAATCAAACAAATAATTCCATGGCATCCAAATGAAAGAAACTAAAAGTTTCAGAGAGCAAGAAAATGTGTGGAAAAACAGATTATAATAACCATGTACTCAAACAAAATCGAGAATTTCACTTGAAAAAAATACCAGTTGTCATCAAATATTCATTCAAATTAAAAGTATGTAAATCTCCTTGAATATCTTGTGTGAGCCTCCTTTTTGGCAATAACTACCTGAAAATATTTCAAGCAACCACAGGAAATGTGAACTTCTGCATATGAAATTCAAGAAATTATAAGCCCATTCCTCCGTACAAAAGAGCTTCATATTTGTGATTTTTTTCATCACTCTTTGCTAGGATTTATGTGAATAGGATAATTATTTTAGATTTACTAGTACAATGCATACATATACAATTTCTTATCTATCGCAATAACCCCCAAACATAATAGTACCACAATCATGTTTTGTTCTCATCTGTTTTTAACCATAACTGGATTACAGTGAATTGGACCATAATTTATTGGGCTGTGCTTTGGCTTTTAGTGTGAATTGGCTTAATATAGACAAAGTAAAATTGAATTCAATAGCCAGTTTAAACTTCAATTAGACTTTTTTCTCAAGGCATTGTTGATGTACGCTTGTGTTCAGTGTTCTCCTTACTGACGACTAACATCAGCCAGTCTGACAGACCAGTTGTTGGTCATAAAATACAATGGCTCTCTGCATAATGTGTGTAGGAGACAAAATTCTGGTGGTTTATATAAGCACACCGCCTTCATAGCCACCTGCTTCAGTCACTTTCAATCTAACTGCAAATTATAAATTATCAAATGCTGACCAATAGATTTGAACTGGATTGAATAGACTGGAAAATAATGTCTTTAAATGACAGTTTGAAATAAATTTTGGTCACTTTCTCTGTAAATTTTCTAAAGATCAACCGATTCTCTAAGAATAAGTCAAATGTAGGATTCCTTTTTTTTTATTAATCCTTTCTAACAGCCTTTCCGTTTGTTTTTAAAATTGGAAATTTCTTCTCAGCATTTCCTGTCTTTTTTAAGCATTGACTGGTTTTCAATCATGACGTGTTTCAACATGCTTGCAGCAGAAACTAAATAAAGTCACCATAGAATTTGTTATTTTTACATTGTGAGACTCTTCCTCTTTTTGTTGTTTTGGAAGTGAAGATATAAAAGTTGTGGTTTTACCTTGCGTCTGAGCTCATTATCTGCAGAGATGCCACTTTGTTTGAAGGACAACTGTTCTTTGTTGCCTAGTCTTCCATCTTCCTCCAACTGCAAGCTTGAGTGTGAAATCCCTGCAGACACAGCTGATTTACAGCCCAAATTTCATGTTAGGCTATTTTTCATCTGAACACTTGGAAGAAAGAAAACAAATGTCTTAGATGTTTCAAATAAGAAATAAAAAAAGGCGGACAAGAATCACTTAGCCCAAATTTGATATTTTTTGGAGAGCAGCACTGTTCCTCCTGGCTCAGTCATAATAACAAACAACTTTTTAGTTACAAATTCAGTGGTCTCCTGCAACTTTTTCAGCCAAATGGATACATGAAAAAAAAAAAAATCTGGCAATTTAACACATAATCCTTTTTTTCCCCCCTTTTTATTGCCTCATTTTCATGCTCGTCAAACTGGATAACGAGACCTCCTGACATTTAACACAAAACCAGTCTGAACTGAATGCTGTGAAGTTAACAGGAAGACATTGAACTTTTACTTTAAGGTGCTGAGGATATTTTTCTCAGATTACATATATGAATAAACAAAATAGCATTCCAAAAAGTATCCCCGCCCTCACGCAGGAGAGTGGGGTTCGATTCCTGTCTACTTTGTAAGTCTCTTTAGATAAAAGCGTCTGCTAAATGCATAAACATAAACATTATTGGCCAAACCTTATCAATAACCTTAAAAACACATCAATCGCCAAGCACATATCTCCCCATAACTGCTGAACTTGTCAGTGTTCAACTTTTCAGACAGCATGGCCAAATAACGTCATTGTCTTCCCCACAATGAACTGGCACAGCAACCATTTTATCATAGACGTTGTCCCAACAACAAGTCCAATTGAGTGTTGATTAAAACAAGGCAAACTGGCGGCTGATTCTGTCTCTATTAGCTTTGCGTTGAATTTTGATGCCACTGCTCTTTAATACAGTCAGTAAGTAACTGTACTTTTATTTGGAAATAGCAGATGTCCACATAAACCTAGATGGCGCACATATGGTTTATTGGTGTCCTATATTGCCATATCAGTCAATTCTTTATACAAAAAGAGGAAAAAACATTTGGTAGGTACCGAAACACTGAATCTGACACATAAAACTATATTTTGTAAATGTTTCACAGAAGTTGACTTCTGAGTACAAATACCATCTGCACGGTAACATGGGAAAAATGTTTAAATGTGGCCCAATTCTATCCTGTGTGGACTAAATTAAAAGTAACGGGTTTGATGCTTTCTAAAACACTGACAATCTCAAACAGAGCCGATGGCTGTTTACCAAAAAAAGTACAGTTATAATGTTTACAGAATGCGTTGTTTACTCACCTCTTTCCTTTACTATGCGCCTGATTTGTTTCTTTAATTCCAGTCGCTCCTCTTCTAGACGTTCAATCTAGAGAAAAAAACCCCACAGTGAGTTGAAAGTTGGATACTTCAATGGTAATAAAACCCACATTTATGGCTTTGGTGAGTCAGTTTACCTCTTTTGCCAGAATTTGGTTTTCTGCTTTGTACTGACGTTGTTTAAGATTTTTAGCACGTCTAAATTCAGTCAGGTCCACTTCCTGCTTCGGTTCTAAACCTGGTCAAGAACAAAAACACAGAAATTAATTTTTACCCATTTCACTGAACTAGAACAATCTATGCTCTCTCAGTTTACTGATGAACAGGCCATATTTTAGAGAATTCTGACCTAGCCTTTCTCTGAAATCCTCATTTTCATCCATGACGTAATTGATTCTCAGCTCTAGCTGGTTGATCTCTTTGGTCATGGCCTCTGCTTCACGATCTCTCATCCTAATTTGATTGTTACACTCTTTGATCTCCGTAATGGCCGCTTCCAGGCCATAAGTGCCCTGCAACATGGAAACAGAACCATAATTACTTGTCCATCAAAAAGCATGCATTGTCTCTATAATTTCTTTTTCCCACTTCATTTGCTTTTTGGGGAAATCAGGATGCAATTAGCTATGGTGAGACTAAACACAAACACTGTTTGTAGACTCAAAAAGCACATTGATCACACCACAGTCACATAGCCACTGATGCACCTCTTTTAAAAGTGAACAGATGGCACAAAGGAAAAAATCTCAAGCCCCAATTTCTTGGAAGTTAAGAGTCAAATAATTTGAGTTCAGTGAAAACAAGTCTTGGAAATCAGAATGATAAAAACAAAAGAGAATCAGTAGGCATTTGTAGACTCACAGATTCATATTGACTCAAGCGTTTTGAGGCCTCAATGAGTGCTTTGTCTTTCTCCTCAGCATGAGCTTCTGCTAGTTTTACCGCCTGCTCTGCTTCCATTGCTGTGGTTTCTGCTTCCCTCAGCTTCAATATTAGGTCCTCTATCTTCTGCTGCTGTGTGGCCGATGGAAGAACTTGAGTAAATAAAAGAAAGATTAAGAAACAAAAGTGTACTTGTTAGCAAAAGAATGATGAAGCCCAACAAGTTTTCACATGTTAGGCTAAATACAATTTGGACAATATTAGAGAGGACTTCCATTTCATAAAACTATTTACTGTGCATCCTGCAGAAAAAAAGATCAGTTACCATCATTTTAAACCTGTCAACAAAGCACAATTCAATCCTGTCAGTTGTGTTTAACTCCCAGATAGTTTGGAGGAAACATCTGGCTCTTTAACATCTTAAAGCCATATAGCTGAAAGTAGCTGTGGGTACAAAGTCAGCCAACATTGTAAACCCTGAAACCAAAACAGGGGCTTGTCACTTTGATTTACTAAATTCATGTCTCATTTTTTATAGAAAAAACAAAAACAAAAGAAAAGACTTGAATAACCCTTTATAACAGAGCTGTAAAATAAAGCCCTTTATTCCTGTGCATACATTAAAAAAATCATTTCTGAGCATGGTTAGGCTTATCAATAGTAAAACTATCTCATTCTCTCTTCACCTCTTCACTTTTTTGGACTGCAACCAGTAATAATCATTCTCTATCAGACGCTGTTTATCTACTTTAATGCTAATCTTAGACAATGTAATGTCTTCCAGTTCAGGATGATTTTAGAGGAGTACGTCCTTGTAATTACATTTATCTATTTTTTTCTCTTGTAGGAGTGTACGGTTAAATAAGCTTTTTTGATTAGCCAAAAAAACAACAACAACCATTTTTGCACTTATCCTTGACAGGAATGTATCCAGTTCAAAACCTCAAGCTGGAACCCCCTCACCTCTGTCTTTTTTTGTGGATGTTTTTAGTTCCTCGATGAGTTGGGTGTTCTTTTCCATCTCTCCTGTATACTGCTCCACCTGCTCACTCAGCATCTTGATTTGATTATCACGCTCTTGAACAGCCTTTGGAGCATTCAAAAGCATTTAAAAGTAATTAGAATTTAAGGGGTGACAACAGTAGTAGCTGTTGGACACTTACTAATAAGTACTTTCAACAGCATGGAAATGTATTAAATGAAAGCGATGAGAGGCTAACGAAAAGAAGTGCATGACAGATGAAACTTACGCCACAGAGTTCATAAATGCCCTGGCCCAGGGCAGCGATAAAGATGGAATGGAGGACAGGTCGAGAAAGCCAGAAAAAGAAAGATCACATATAGATGTGGAAACACGTGGAAGTTACTCTGCTCAAAGTTAGACAATTCTTACACAGGACAAAGCTACAGAAATACTGTGTAGGACACTTTCGGTGACCAGTTGTAGCTAGTGTTGTTTAAGACGTTTTTAACCTTGGATATTGGCTAAAACATCTGAGCAGCAGTGTTATTCACAATCATAAAAACAGAAGGAGCTTCATAGTTTCCTCTAGCATAGCGCACACAGGATTGCGCTTTACGCCAGAGATGAGATCAATTACTGTAAAACTTTCAGAAAAATACTTTTTTAGAAACACTGACAGAGCTATCTGTCCGTTTTATGTCTGTTAAGGTAAAGACGACAGGAGGGGCCCTTCTATTTGACAGGCCCACCGTATGAATCTGTAAACTGTTAGTGGATATACCTTTTAAAAAAGGTTGACCAAGGACAGTTTCACATGTGGACCAGGTAAATCCAGGATTGAAATGCGGACCTTTCAATTTATAGGTGACTGTTTATTTTTGCTGAGCTATAGCTATCATTATTTTTGTCCTTAACTACGTCAATCTGTTTTTAGTTATGTTTCCAAAGGTGGCAAGTAAAAATCGCACATCAATAACAGTCAATTCTCATTTTTGCCAGAATTTAGTAGTTTAACTCAAACTGTTTTCATTTTTTCCCTCTTGGCTTTGTCTGTCTCATTCTACCCCATGAAAATAGGTGCAGAAGGTGTGAATACATGCTCAAAACCTCCTAGGATGCCGCAATGGAAATAGACAAGAAGTGAGAAAAAAGGCAAAGAGTGCAGAGGTTTTTGTTCTCCTTTGCTCCTTCGTCTGGGGACAGACCTGCTGTAGAGCAATAATGTTGCTCTTGTCCAAGTCCAGCTGTGTCGAGCGCAGCTTCTCCCTGAGGTCGCGAATCATCTGCTGATATACCAAAATTTCATCGTCCTTTCCAGACAGCACTCTCTGGGGTGAGAAAAACATCATGTCATTCAACAGTCTGGTGGTGTTAGCTCTGTGGAAATGTTCATCTAGTGTCACTAACTCAAAGAGGCTAGGAAAGAATCATGTTGATTTTAATTTAAATTCAAGAAATAAAACAACCAGATGTTGCTTTTTTTCCTGATGCTGTTAAGTGTGAACTTTTACTGTTTGGACTTGGCCAAGAGGAATTCTCTCATGTATGAGATCTTTCCATTCTCATAACAATGGACACTATCCTTTTTTTCTCTCTCCATCTTCAGATTAAGAACAAGAAGAATATTCTAGGCAATTGGCCTTTAAAAGCTGTGTCTTCTACATGTTATCAACATCCACCACCTACTTTCCATTCCTCCACTTTGGCACTGACTGCAGCCATAATGGGGTCGTCTTCTTCAGTCATGCTCTGAATCTTGTCTGTTAACTCTCTGACCTGCACATTAAATAGACACAGGTTGGTTTGATTCTGTACCTTGCACAGACATATTACATAATCCATCTGAGAACAAAAACAAATAAATTCAAGAGATACAATCTTGCAGAGAAGTTATGATTAATGTGTTCAGATAACCAATCTGACCATGAAAATACATTTAACACATTCTAATATGGAAACAAGCTAAGAAATTAGTTTCTGTCTTTACTTGAAGCTTTGCATGGTCCCTGTCTTTCCTGAGCTGGTCCATAATCAAGTCGGTCTGCTTCACAACGATCTTCATTTTGTTGTACTCATCTGTCATTTTCTCCATCTCCTTCATAGACTCCTCCAAGCTTTTCTGCATTTGCTCATTCTGTGTCTTCAGGTGTGCATTCTCATCCTCAACTTGCTAGGGGGCACAAAATCATTTTAAAAAAGTAGATGTGTGTGCCCTTATTAGACAAATACTCAACAAGGCAAAAGCAATTCATTGAAAACTACACTAATTTCAAAGAACCTGAAGGTCGTCCAGGCACTGGTAAAGCTGGCGGTTGGCCAAATTGAGCTTCCTCTGAGTCTCAGCACTCTCGTCTCCGGATGGGGGCGAAACTCTCTGGTCCAGCTCGCGGCGATAGAATTCCACATCCTGCTGGAGCTGATCATTCTGATGCGGCACAGGAGAGGAAGAATCCATTTCAGGAAGAATAGCTAATTGGAATTTCCTGTGATCATGAACAAATGCTGAAATACCGGACTGTTTGAGGGGATTGTTGAAATGCGAGCATTCCCAACTGCCATTTTGGCCAGAGTCAAGGTCTTATATTCTCAACCACAGGACATATGATGGGTGTTTTCCATAAATGGAGACAGTTAAATGAAAGTTGTCATCTCGCTCGCTTTTTGGCAAGGAAGCGCAGTCACAATGACTAAGTAGACATCCGAGTCAAGCAGGGATTATTTGCATCTTAAAATGAACTTGTTTTTCTTGTGTTATGAAAATGTATTTTGTGTCAATGCTAATACCATCAGATTAAACAAACAGACAGAATGCTCGCACTATTTTATTATAGCTAAGATTACTTTTATGGATTCAAGTGTCTGATATACACATTTTTTTTCAGGTTATTAGACTAGTTTGATGTTTCTGCTGTGCCCTCACACATCAGCTGTATTCAGTGTAGAAAAACACTGATTTATTGAACTGGCCGTCAGAACACACAGCAGATCAGTGTGATTTATTTTCATCAGTGTCACTGTCTCCATGTGAGATGTAAAGTTGGCAGAGCTGCATCCACTCTGGAGGCTCCAACCACAGCACCTTCAGAGAATACTAGCATGCGCTCTCAGGTGTGTTTGTGCTTTTTGGACAGTGTAAAAAGAGTTTCAGTCAGTGAAAAAATGTAGGTCTGTACCTCTATACCTTTTACAAGTCTATAAAAAACAACAACTAACAAACCAGAATCTAAATTTGCTGCACTATACTGCCTACATTTCTTACCTTCTTCTTAGTTTTTTTCAACTATGCAACAGAACAAACAGATAAAAGAAAAGATGAGCAAATAATAGCATAGTAGATAAAACCATGTTGTTACATGCACCACAGGTTTTAAGTGAGATAAGCCATTCAAGAAGTACAGATATCTGATTAATGCTTTGAAACTTGTAGCATACCTCTCTTTTCAACTTTTTCACTTCATTTTCAGCTTCCTCCAATCGTACAAAGAACTGGAAAAACAAAAGAATAATTTTAACAACAAGGGAATACACACTAATGTTTTTATTTATTGTTATTTTGTTCTTGGCTATGGCAGTGTTATACGGTATTAACCAAAGCAATAATCAACAGAAAGTCTCAATGGAAGCTTAAAGCAAACAATGGCTAATAGGATTAGCATTACTACAGACTAATATTGAAAGAAGTTTAGTATGTAATAATAAAACTGAGTTTGTTTTAACAGTATTTTAGGGATTTTTTTTTCTGAGTATATCAAATAATAATACTACTAAGCTGCTCAAAATAACACAATGCAACTGTTTAAAAGGAGAACAGTATGTGCTTTAAAAGACCCACTTATGTGAAAACAGTGACAACAATTATGAACCAAACCAACATGAAGGCACTGATGGTGGTACACTCATACCTCTTCATTGGTTTTCTTTTCCTTTCCCATTTCTCTTCTTAATTGGGTCAACTCCTTCTCCCGTTGCTCCAGCTGGGCCTCAAGCTGCCGAATCTCATCTCTTAGAAAGCGGTTGTCTGGCCCACTGCCGAGCGGCTGAGCCATGCGAACCAGAAACAAGGTGCAAGAAAGGTCAAACCAACCCCCACCAGAAAGCCTTAGTCTATCAACACCTCTACACGTTTGCAGTTTACACACCTAACATTGGTGTAAGCTGTCTTCAACAAGGCCTTAATTATTTTTTCTAGCAAAATCAAATACCGAGACAAAATACTTTTTGTACTGTTAGGAATAAATAAAAAAAAAGACAAAAATAATCTAGTTGAAACTGGATTCAAATGCTTGGAGCATGCATGGAATTAGCAGTAATCGTCTTAAGTGCTGTCACTCCATCCAATCTCATTGTAGTTAGGATTACACTCAGTGATTGGCTGAAAGATTTGGCTCTTTTTCTGGATGTAAATAAGGATGAAAACTGATTTATAGTCACATGCATGAACAAATGGGTTTTAACATTTGTTACATTAGTTGTATTCATCGCTATGATGGAGAAAAATAAAAAAACATGTCAGTAACTCTATGAATAAGACAAAAAACACAACACTGTGTGACCTCACAGATAAACTGAGGTCCAAAAAAGCCTTACCTTGCTTTCCTGTTCCAGCCTTGACAGCTTTGTGAGGAGTTCTTTCTCTACATCGCAGAAAAATTGAGAAACATTGAAAAAACACCTTTTTGTTTAAAAAAAAAATTGTTTAGAAGTATTATTCATCAACTGACCAGTTTTGGCATGCTGTAAGCCAATATCATCAATGAAGTTTTCAGCAAGAGTAACTTCTCGATCTTTAATCTACACAGACAGAGAAAGGGTAGAGTTTTACATTGTAAAAGGGCCAAACTTACATTAGGTCATCAATTACTTCAGAGGCAGCATTCACTCCTAACATGGATCGTGATCATTCACATCTTTCTTCATGAAACACATCACACTTTTAATATAGTTAACAGATGCGCACAGTTGATATCAGAGAGAAGAAGCCATAAAACCTAACACCTTCAACAGGGCCTGAAACACTCTGAGGGCTTGAATAAGGGCCTCTGGAGTTTTATCCTTCACCTCCCACTCTTCTGTCTATATAGGAGGAAAAAAAAAGAAAAATGTCAACAGTGAAATCGTTTTAAATTTCAATAACAGAGTTCTGAAAGATAGTTTGGTAGGAGAAGAACAAGAATTTAGTAGAATTTTTTGCTGTTTTTGTTCTGGAAATATTCAATGGTTGGATAAGTAAAGAACTGCAAATGTGCTGTTGGGCTAGTTTGGGACAATTCTAATGAAGGCTTTAATAAGCAAAACCAAATAAAAAGTAAATTTTCTGGAACTGTAAACTCTCTGCATACTCTGGTGTTTGCTTCAACAAGCTTGTTTATAAATGTCTTTTGTAAATGTATACTCTTCCTCTACAATGTTTCAGTCAAACATTGTAGTTTAGTTGCACATTGCTGTGTCAGTTTTAGTAATTGCTCGACTTAAAACCACCTATTTCTTGTATTTCTACTCTAAGCGGTCCAAACAGTCACCACTAATAGAGTTTTAAACAATAATAGTAATAAAAGCTTTTAAAACAGGTGTCTGTTCTTATTAATCTACTCTTATTCATGACCTGAGGATATATCAGAATCCTTTGGCACCCTAAAATGTAAAACTTAAAAAAAAACATTTTTTTACTTTAGAAGCTACAACACAAAACAGCTAAGGTGGACCAAGACAAGATATTAATTAGTTTAAATGTTAACTATGTATCGATACTGAAGTAGGACTCTCTAAAGCAGAACTTTTACATGTGCTTTTTGGATTTAATGCTTGTTTCAACAGAGGTTAACTATTACAATGTTATGTAATTTACAAATGAAGCGAAAAGTAAATCTGTGAAGCGTTAGCAGTTTAGCAACTCAGCAATTCTGAGCAGTGGATATAATATGACGTGGACATTTACCGACACAAGCATGCGGACGACATCGTCCACTTCATGTTTTTCACATTCATGGAGGGTCTGTGGGTCTATTCTTGACACACTATCCCAATGAAGACCGTCTGCCATCTTAATGGGGTATTCCTGAAGGTTTGTCGAACCAAGAGTTGAGTAGACAACGCGGTGGTGCTGAGGCGGGACCACTGAAGCTCAGCTGAATCTATTAACTAATAAAATGTTATGAGTGCATCACATAAGTCAACCAAAGTAGCATTGGCTGTTTCTCTGAATTAGCGACACAAAAGCTCATGTTAAATTAAACGGTATGATGAAGTGCTTTTTATCTTTCGTGTTAATTTGTGCGCGATAGACACTTTGCATATAACGTGTAGGTTATAGATAAAGTAAAAACAATAACAACAAACAGCCTCGGAGAGGCTTCCATGTTGTGATGCTCTGGCTGCTAGGTTACGTTTCACAACAACAGCTTGTCGACAAGAAAATAAAACTAGAGGTAATGGATAAGTCGGCTCTTGTAGAAAAGTAATCCAAACCGTATTAACATTTCAAACATATCATAAGAACAGGGTTGCATCGCCTGTCCCAGGCTTCAGTTCGCCGAAGAATCGTTGTCTCATTTAGCTGAAGTTTAACTTGCGCGGTCACCTCTGAGCCGGAAGTGATAGCTGTGCTACCTTAAAGCTAGTTGCCACAAATGGAAAGCTGTTTTATGAATAGAGTGCTCCGAATGTATGCTATCATCCCATGCTTTTGATATTAAAGCTCTGCCGTCACAGTCGTCTGCCCCGGTATATGCTTGGTGAGACTGACACAACATACTTGTGCGTCCATTGCTTCCCAGAATAATAACAGGATACAATCTAGTTAGCATTAGCCGCTGAAGTAGTTTTGCGTATGCTAACGTTACGTTTTAAGAGCCAGTATGAGTTTTTCATGATAGGTAAAACCGTTTTCTCTGCTGCTAAATTAATGCAAAATATGGATAACGGTGTCGTATGAGTTTGTTTATTCAATACTAATCTAACACTATTACTACCTAAATTGTTCTTCTATTTTGCTGGCCGTTGCTATAGTACCAGTCCCTGGAACACTAATAGCTTGAGAGCCCAGTACTCGTACTTTCACATGGGCTGTCTTTCACTTTAGAGAAAAGAAAGTACCGCAAATCTCCGACCGCAAGAAATGTTGCAGAAGGGAGTGAGCTGGAGTAGTCGGCTGTCATGACGAAAATGTACTACTGCATACATGAATCAGATTGGAATTGGTGCTAAAACTGGAGTCTTTACAAAGCCGGTGTTTTAAGCTTAATATGATATGTAGTTCTTTGTAAAGTTATACTGTCGGTTAAGTTTGCTTTGTTAGTGTGAATGATATAATCATGTAGATAATTTAAAGAGCTTCTTCTTGTACAAATCTCGATTTTGATGTCTTTCCAACCCCCCTTTTAATTTCTGGCTCAGCGATCAATGACGGCCTTGGTCAGCAATGGCTGTCGTGTCATGGAAGGAAATTTTACTCTTGACTGGAGTGGTGGTGGGATGTTACTGGAACAGCCTTTCCTGTGGGTTTGTGTTTGATGATGTCTCGGCAATCCTTGACAACAAGGACCTCCGCCCCTCAACCCCTCTTCGCAACCTTTTCCTCAATGATTTTTGGGGAACACCCATGGCTGAGGCAAGTTGTGACATTTTTCTTGCATTTTTATTGTGTATCAACATTCATTCAATATTTTCACTCCTTATCTTGAGTTGTAGATACATTTAACAATTGAAATGGACCACAATGAGCCACAAATCTCACTCAGTGGACTGAATTGCAACTGACTGCCTAATCATGTGTCTTTAAACAGGAGCGGAGCCATAAATCGTACAGGCCCCTAACAGTACTCACATTCCGACTGAACTACCTCTTCAGTGAGCTCAGTGCGGTCACCTACCATCTGCTCAATGTGGTTTTACACGCTGTCGTGTGCGTCCTTTACCTCCGCGTCTGCCGGTTGTTCCTGGACAAGACATCTAGCTTGGTGGCAGCACTGCTGTTTGCCGTGCACCCAATCCACACTGAAGCTGTAAGTGTTCATCTGGTTATTAAATCTGCAAAAGTATACGTACCATGCTACAGTTGGAATATATGTATTTTTTTATCTTCTAGACCATGAGGTCAGCTTAACTAGATGTTTGAATTTTTTGTGCAGAATTTAACAGGATGTTACTTGTTTAAAGAAATAAATATTTAAATTTTGATTAGTTCTTTCATCCATCGAAGCAGCATACAATAATCAATGGCGATAATGTATTGTATCTTTATCTGGAGACAGCTTCCAAAATATTTCATGGAAGTTACACTTTACTTCTGAGACTCTGCCTTTAAATGTTTTTTCTCTCATTGTTTTCATCTTCAGAAGGAACAAAGTTGCATTGTAAAGAAGAGTGGCTGTTATAGCCATAAACTAAAGCAGATATCAGGCTGAAAACCAGCATTGCAGTGAGCTATAAGATTTGGTCTACTCCCCTACCCTCAAAGCCCCAAAAAGAACAGATACTGAACAAAAACAGACTATCGCAACTTAATTTTATGATGCAAAAGCTATGAAGGAGCTACAGAGAAACCAGGACATAGTCCCCCTCTGGCTGTATGTAGGTCCATGTGAGTGTATCCAGCCAATTACGTATGAGGGGAAAAAAACACAAGTCAGTCAGAGGAATGTCGAATTCCCCGGCAAAACGGCACATGCAACAGTAGCCCAGAAGTCCTCCACAACAGTGTGAGACTGATGACTCTATACAGAAAATGTACATTTCGATTTATTCTTATTCTTCTTGAGTACGCTTTTTAATCTATGGAGTTCAAAGGTTGTGCTTAGTTTTCATACATTGCATCTATATTGTTGTTTAGTTTTCACTCAATAAATAATGACATAGCGTAATATTTTATGTAGTTTTGTTCACCTTGACCTTCTTGTTAGACTTAAAAAAGGATGCACTATCCTGTCCAAACTGATGTACAGGCTGAAAGGAAAGTGTAAAGTAGTCACTGATTTTAACAGGCAGGTTTGAATTTGAAAACGGGGTGTAAAAGAAGACACAACGACTGCCACATAAATGTCAGACATAATTGAATTGTGGGATTAGGATCACAGCTTTGTTTTTGCATGGATTGTTACAAAATAATATTCCACTGCTTCTCTACAGGGTGTTTTGATTGAAGTGTTAGTAAGCCTTTAGGGTCTGGGGTTTATCTGCAAGATTGATGCTGAACATATCTTACTTTGTGCTGCAAAACTCAACATACCCATGAAAGACATGTGGCGTTCTAGATCTGATTATACTTGTTTTCCCTTAAGCAATAACAATTGTTACTCTATTTTGAAATCTTTTCAAATGTTCCTTTACACTTTTTTATTTGGTTGTTTAGCAATAGCTGTTGTACTTAATCGGTTTATTTTGGGCGTTTCTCATAGCATCCAAAAACCTTTTGTTTACTGTTGGACATTTAACCTCAATGTCATTCGCCTGCCTGAGAAGCTTCTTCCCCAAATTAGGAGTCTATTTTTCTTTTCTTTAGTTTTTTTGTTTTGTTGTTCATTTCTACTATTCAGCTCAGCTAAACGGATGACCAGACAGGCAATGACCAGAGTTGGAAAAACAAAGAAAACATTCTGCTTTGTGGGCTGGAGTGCTACTGTTACACAGCCTCCACCACAGCTCCCTCTTCCTTCTGATTTCCTCTAATCTATGCCGAGCCTCTCAGACTTCTTGAATGGAAACAATTTGCCTCACAAATGAGCCCTCAGAGTTAGTTCAGCGAATGGCCCTCATGTTATCGCCGTCTGGAATCTCTTCTCTGAACGGCTCATTTGTTTTTGAGAAATGCTCCAAGCACTGAAGGTCCCTTTATGATAAGTATGTACAAAGACTCCCTGTGTGTGTCCCCATGTCCTTCTGGTGATAACTTCTTGAATGGAGATTTTCTTCATCTCTTTGCTCCACATCTCCCAGTATCTTCAAATACAAATTGTTTAGTGTACTCCACATGGATATCTTAAGGGTGTACATGGCATCAGGGTGAAGGCTGCCATTGAAAAGCCACAATTTGGCACCGTCAGAAGCTGAAATGCGTGGTCTGGATAATCTATCCAAATTGACCTGATTATAGTTAGTGTTTGATGTAATCATAATGCAAGCCTTTGATTAGAAGTGAGAATGCCGCTTCTTCCACATGAGGGCAGTCATCATTTACTAAAATGACAGATGTTGTTGCCATCCCAGAGTCTGATCTGAAGATGTGCTTATTGTCTGTTGAAATGATTTACCAGGAGAGGTTTGTTTTCACAGCTGGATGTAGGGGCCCAGATCAGTGGGATTCTCTCGTGGAATGTGTTGTGATTGTAATCTTCATCCATGATGAGTGTTTTTAAAAATAAAAACAAAAATGTATCAAGATTTGACCCACATTGAATCGATGGAGCTGGTAGAGAAGTAGCATAACCTATTTGACATGACTAAATTCTGCCTTTGTTTTTTGTTTGTAGAAAATGGTACAGATAACTGCTACGATTTAATTTTAGGTCACTGGCGTGGTTGGCAGAGCAGAACTTTTATCCTCCATTTTTCTCCTGGCTGCTTTCCTGACCTACACAAAATCAACTAGCACCAATCACTCCATTGGTAAGGCTCACTCATTCTTTTTTTTTGACAAATGAATTTAGAAATGTCGGACTTTTTATTTATGTGTTCTTGTATTTATAATGACAACCCCCCTTGTTAATTAAGCATAATTTTCTAAATCTTATGAAGTAGTTGTGCTGTCAATTTGACCTGAAGTTGAATTCATGGTCAAAAAATAAAATGGCAGTCTAAGAGATGATGAGAACACCAAAGCATCTCTGTTTGTTTTTTAAACTACAAAAGGACATCTTAGACAAATCACTTCTGCTCTATCTTAAAAAATGGTGGACGCTCTGTCATGTTATGACTATTGTGCTATCCGTGTAACCTGAAGGGTTAAAGATTTTAGATCAAATCGCTTCATCTTCTGAAAGGAAAACAACTCTGTGACAAGTCTGACAGACAGCAGTGAAAAAGAACCTGCTATGAGTAGGAATTCATGATATGTTCAAAGGTTTTGTTTTTTGCCAGATAATTATTGTATCATGACATTATATTTGGCAGGGTTTGAAATAAAAAGAGGACATTTCTAAAACTGTACAAATTGCAAAAAACTCATGGAAAGAATTTACACCGAGGCATGTAGACTTATTCTCTCCTCAAAGTGGTGATATTTATCCTATTAAGAATGGAAAAATATTTGTCTTTCATTTGGGGGATGCTAGATATCACACAAACATAAATGTCTAAGTCTGTGCTTGATGTTTTTTTTACATTTTCTGTCTCTAGTTTGGGCTCCCATTGCTCTGACTGTGGCACTTGTGGCCGCAGCAACACTGTGTAAGGAGCAAGGAATCACCGTGGTCGGCATCTGCTGTGTTTACGAAGTCTTTGTTGCACAAGGGGTATGGGTTCTGGAACATTATTTGTGAAAAAATGTATTTACAGAACAGACAACAAGAGCTGAACCAAACAATCATGTTCACATAAATCTGCTCCTTTATGTGTAATTTTCTCAGGCAGAAACCGTCCCAATAAGATACAAATCTCCTTCTCAAGGGAGTTCTGGTCAAAATGGCTACATGAAAAGGCTAAATCAAAATGTTCACACTTACAGAACACATAAAAGTCCCATATATGTAATAGTAGTTACTGAAGCATGCTTCATATATTATACACCATGTTGCGAGTTGCAACCTGTTTCCCACGGGCAGCTTGTCAAAATTATTTTTTTTTAATAGGGTAATGTAAGATTCTGGAATTTCCAGATTATTGGCGTAGATTAGGTCATGTAGGAGGGGGGAATTATATGAGAAAGGAATTTACCTTGCTCTTAGTAAGCCGAATAACATTTAATAAATGCTTGTGGCAAATCTCTTTTGTACGTGTTGGTATGATCAGAAAGAATGTAGAGATAATAAAGCAGTAGTTAACCTAACAGGTTCTTTTGCCCTTTTATTGAATAAAATAAATTCTGCTAGTACAGAGCGAGCCTCACTGTGCTTGTCAAATATGAAATATAAATGGTGAAAAATATGGTCTATTCATTCAAAGTTTTTTTTTTCTTGTTTAAGGACTTTAATAACAGGTGTTTGTTTGTTTTCTCGTTTTTGTCATTATCCTTGCCATTTGCAGTTTACCCTCCCCCTACTGCTTGATACTTTGAGGCAAGTTCTGCAGGGCAAAGGCGGTTTCCCGTATGCTGTGCTGCAAATTCTATTGAAGCTTATCGTCCTTGTCATCAGCACTCTGCTGCTTGTCATCGTCAGGGTTCAAGTTATCCAGTCCCAGCTTCCTGTCTTCACCAGGTATGCAAGCATCAAAGCAAAATGTTTCTTAAAAGGAAGTCCTAAGAGTACAAAAAAAAACAAAAAAAGCCAGGTTTTTACAGTGGCTGGGGTTTTAGCAGTAATAATGATTTGAGTGGAAATGGATTGCAGGATTAAATCCATTTTAGTAGCGAGGTTCATTATTTATTTCAATTGCATAATTATTTATGTAATGAGTTGCTTTGAATTATTTCAAGTCCTCAGATATCTGCTGTTGAACAATGCAGACCTGCATCATTAATTCATTGACCTTTAATTTATTAGTTAATTGTAGTATACTAATCTTATCTTACTTTTTCCTGGCACCTGGACAGCTCTGCTTAAAATGATTATACATGCACATTTGTATTGTCTTTTGGCCCAGCTCTAATTCTTTAAAGACATCAGCCAGTTTAATGTCCAGGCACAGGGGTCAGCTGCCCGAGGCTCCGGAGCCGTATTGGCTCTTTCGGTCTTATGATGTGACTCCCTGCAGCTTTGGAAAATAAATTATGGGTAACCAATTTTTGTTTGTTTTTTATTATTAATATTTTAAGTGTCCTGCTCAATTTTATGACTACACTGATCTTGTTGCATGGAAATAAAATCAAAACATACAATTAGAATTAGTTTATTCAAACTTCGTTTTCTCGCACAAAACAGACATCACAAGCCGAAACTATCTTAAATTAATTTCCGGAGGTACATAGGCACGCATCTGAGTTGGAGCTCGGCGCTGAGGGGGCTCGTTATTCTCTTTTCATTTTTCTCATCTAAAAAAATATATTGGCAACTCATTTTGACCAGTGTATTAACTGTCCAGCTGCCTGGAAGCCTTCAACGTAGCTCAAAGAGCTAATTCCAAGCCAGATTCAAGACTGTGAAAGAAATAACTTATCTCAATGCCCTTGGGCAAATTGAAATCAAGGGATATGTAAGTATTGGAGAATAAAGTTGCTAGCTAAGTAACAACAAGTTTGTGTTTTTATATGAGTTCTGTCCTTGCTGAGTGAATGCATTGAGGTGTCAAATCAAGTCTCACCTGAAGGATCTTACTGTGACAATCTGGGAATGTATAAAACCTGCTGGGTCACCGAACTAACTGTAAATGACAGGAACGTCTTGCGAAAAATTCATAGAATCCCAAATATTTGGGTGTAATGTTTAAAGGTCTGTGCTCACACACAGTTGTAGCACTCATCCACATCTATCCTTTAATTTAATATCCAATTGAATGCGATGAGTCTGAAAAACTATAGACTGCAACTACAGAGATTACAAAAATGATTTTGAATTATAAATTCAGTGTGCAGATTTAGATGAACTCTGTGACCCTCGAGAACACTACACTCAGTGTCCTTCAGTTGAACAGCCTCAAGTATTGAGTCTATCCTATTTTAAAATTGTCAGCACAAGATTCAACCTAATGACATTTGAGCGTGAAGATAAAATTCCAGAACATTTTCCTGGTTATCCTAATCCTCTTGCTGTAATCTTCAAGCTGTCTCCACATTGTCTGCATGTCTATGTTCAAAGCCATAACAATGCAAAATATATATAGATTATCGCCTCTATAGTTATTAGTCCCCAAATAACTTATCTTTTGAGATAAATTTGGACCATCAGATGCAAATGGGGGGCTTTAGATCCAGAACTCCAACAGGTTTAGACAGGTTATGAAAATACAGGATGTGAAGTTATCACACACTGCTATAGAGACTAAATATATTCAACCTCCCGACAGGATTATATCCATGCACAATCTGATTTTAGGTCAAATTTATCTGCCAGTGGAACTTTTTCCAGGTGGGTTTTATAAGTATATGTTCCAACATATCGACCGTACGTGTTAACATTGCAGATAATTCTGGCCTTCTGTACTCGACTGTGGAAGCCGGACACTAATGTTCCTGCTGATCCCTGACATTTAGTCCAATGCTGCGTTTAGGGATACAAATTTAATTTATCAGATGGATTGAAATTTGATTTATTTTCACTACAATGCTCTTCAGAGGAGAACTTCTCTCAACTTTTGACATTTTCTTATCTGTCCCCATCAAAGTGAGGCATTACACACATGCTATCTAATTATTTAGTAGTGATGTTTGTCTATTTTATAAATTTCACAGAGATTTTCTTATGAAACAAATAGCAGACTTTTATTTTGATCACCTAATTACATTCTTTTCTGTGTTTCAAAAGGGGAACATTACATTGGTTCAACCACAGGAGCATTTAGAGAGACGTTATCTCCCAGACAGTATAAGTGGGATTTGACTTGTTATGGGGATGTTTTGGGGCTCGCCAGGATTAAAAAGAAGGTATCCTATGTCAGATTAAGGGGAAAAAAATGTCAACTGTGAAATGCTTCTGTAAAACCTGAAAAATGTGGACGTTTTTCCAACATCCTCTGGAGATGTGACGCACTGAAAAGATTTAAATGAATAAAATAATAATTACCCTGATCTGCCTGGCCCAAAAATGAAACACCACCTGGTTCTAACTAAGCAAATAGGATAAGAGTGCCCAATTGGAATATTGATTCGTATATTTCATTTGGCAACGAGTTATTTAACCCTGACCGATGCCTTGAGTTGTTTCTCAATTCCTTAACAGTTTTAGAACAAAGAATTAATAGTTTTGGAAAAGACTTTGCTCTCTTTCAGAGTAGTCAGTATCTTGTTTCTATCAAACAGAAAAAGGAAAGACAAATGAAATAGGATCGAAAGGAATGTCTGCCCATTACGATTTTCAGATCTGATAAGATTTTGATAAACCACTATCTAAAAAGAAGAATTATAGTTGGAAGAAAATCGAGTGATTGTTATCAAAGATGACTCAAATATTCAATGAAATCGGATGAAATTAAGCTTCATTAAGCTAATTAGTGAAAAGCAGTCGAACATAAAGTTTGCACTCAGAAGCAAGAGAAAAATGGTCATATGACTTTTGAAGCCGCTTGCATTTTCCACAGAAAAATGTTTAATCAGTTGTGGGTGTAAGCTTAACGCTTCATATACTCTCCATCAAGACAACGGTCCTCCTATCATTTACAGTCCACAGGTCCAAAGATTGCACAGATTGCTTCCTACCCTTTGATGCATTATTATTTTAGATGTATTGACACATTGATCTATTTCTCTTGGAGTCAGAGACCTTTAACAGAATCAATTTGTGTGTTATTTTTAACAAAAGGCTAAAGAAGAACTATCAGTCCTTGGTTGTAACTTTGACTAAATCATATTAATTTGCTGTTCTTTCCCTGCACTTACTCCGCCACTTGTACATGCTTCCTGCTTCTATTCACACCTTAGGTAAAATGGGCCAGATTAACTTTGATCTTGTGTTTTCCGTACAGATTCGATAACCCGGCAGCGGTCAGTCCCGCACCTGCTAGACAACTGACATTCAACTACCTACTTCCTGTGAATGCATGGCTTCTCCTGAATCCATCAGAGCTCTGCTGTGACTGGACTATGGGAACCATCCCACTGGTGGAGTCAATTCTGGACCTTCGTAACTTTGCCACACTTCTGTTCTACTTATTCCTGGGACTTCTCGCCCTCCATAGTCTGAGATACAGACACAGCTCTGCCAAGACTGTCATCATGGTGAGAGGGATTGTGATCCCACTTTGACATATATAATGCATTAACTATCCCACTCAAATACAAATCGATCACTTTCTTTTGTTCAAAGAAAGTACTGCTCAGTTACTACAAATTGTCTTCCGTCATAGTGAATTTCATTCCCAGATATCTTTGAAAACACGACCGATGTAGTTTATGCTACTAGGCTGTTGGAGGCCATTTTCTAATGGCGCTGTCTTCACCTGAACTGATATGGGACAATTGTGGTCTCTCCTGGCAACACAACTCGCCACATTTGCTGCTATTGTTTTTTTAATTAACTGAGAGATTTAAAAATTGCATATTCTGTAAAATTGAACTGCAGTCATTTAAGTTTCTTACGATAAATGCAAGGACGTAGTTTTTCTGTGTGGCTTCGAATCACAATCTGCTTCACAGATGAAAGAAGGCCACTTTATAGACCACTTTAATAACAGAGTTAAGAGACTAATTCTGGTTGAAAATCACTCCAAGCCCCCCTCTCAGCAGTACTCAAAGTCAAGGTAATACCATCCGGAGTAAGTATGAGGTTGGACAGTCATTGTCTCAGGTTTATAGGTCTTGAAACAATTACTTCAATCCTCAAAGGCAGACATTTATGGCTAATCTATACCTTTGGGTCTGGAAGACAAGCCTATAACTTCACTAAACTGTTAGTTGCAACAGACTTAATGGATACAGCTGGGTGCCATCAGCATACCATTAGGAATGCATGTCATGTTTCTCTGATGATCAACAGGACTTGCTTTAAGGGGGGAGAAGAATTGGTATTTGAATTGCTGTCTATTCAAGAACCCAATGAAATGGCCCACTCCTTATTACAAGATGTTGTGGTCAGTAGTGCCTTATGCACCCTTAAGATCTTGCAAGAAAAATCGCTAATTTAAAGGTGCTGTACTGTATCGAAAAGAGCATTTTTAAAACTGTTAATTTGGAACATTACAGTATTTGATAAACCACATTTATTGGTATTAACTTGTTAAATCAGTTAACACAGTTCTCGTAGGTCTACAAAATGGAAACTGTGTTGTTTTTTTTCTCAAATTAACTTGAGTTTTATAAAAGAAAATGTTTATAAAATCACTACTGCTAAACCGGCAGCTATTTAGAGAGCCACAGGGTGGAAAAGAGACTGCGTGGCTATTCATACTTTCCATTGGTGGTAAACAATACGTTGTTCTGGCCTTGTGCAAGGTATTTATTTTTTGCAGCCTGTAAAGCTGTCTTCCTGGCTAATAACTCTCTTCAGTTTTAATGAATTGCCATTCCTTGACGTACCCCAACAGTACAGTTTTGAAGATCTCTTAAGTGTTTGAGTACGGCCATATGGGAAACACTCATACTTTCTTTACCTTGAACCCTCCTTGGACTCACTAAAAGTCCTTACATCCATAGTATTAAAGCACACCCACAATTTTAGATGGCTTTACGGAGATGTGACCAGTTATTTGATTTAATTACCGGTACCTTAAGTCAGGACTGGATCAAATGTGTGATTGCTGTATTATGTAAACTATGTCACTCTTTGACATAAACATATATATCCTAAGAATGAATGCAGTCCTCAAGATGGGCAACATAAATATCAACATTACTTGCCTAAGTGAGTTGTTATGAGTCAGACTGGAACTGTGAGTGAGATGTTGTGCCAGGTGGAAGATGTAACACACAAGTGTTTATGGGTTTTGCATGTGAAAGCTTTTAAATTGCTTGTCGTATGATCAAGGTGCAAGCCTTAATTATACCCGAGCAACGAGGCCTTTTGACTTTTTTTTTTTTACTGTTATTCCTTCCGCAAATTCATTGCCTTTTTGCCCACACCCCAAAACACAGGACATTTTGTTGTGTATGCATATAAATGCATGTTTTTTCGTCATTGTCACCCTCCTTCCAAGTCTGTCTCCATGCTGGCATCGACCATTCATGTTTATGTTGTCATATTAAATTGGATTGAACAAATTTCAACCCTCCCTGGACTGCCACCTTATTGTGGTGGAGGGGTTTGAATGTCCCAAAGATCTTAGGAGCTCTGTTGTTGGGGGCTTTATACCCTTGGTTGGTTAAACCAAGTAACTTGTGGGTGCCTGTTTTGGCGGTAATCCCATAACTGGTTGGTGGACACAAACGGTGAGGGAAGTCACTGAAAAATGAGTACTATCAGGCTTTTTTCTCTTGTGGGACTCTGGAGGCAGCTGACAGTTATCGGCAGGCCAAGCCGAATGCGACTTCCCCGTATGCTGAGGGATCAACTCAAACATCGGAGGAGTTCGAAAAGGTCATGGAAAAACCACCTCTGGGTGGCTTTGAAGAGATTCTGGTCCACTATACGGCAGCTCTGAACAGGGAAGCGGTCCGTTTTAGGGGGGATGGGGAGCTTCTGACCTCGCTTCGGGAGGTTTTTTGGGCCTTTAGGGGAATACTTTGAAGACCTCCTCAACACCATCACCATTCTGATGAGGAAGAAGCCTGAGGACCTGGGTGTGGGCTCTTATATTACCGGGGGCTGAAGTTGCTGAGGTTGCTGAGGTAGTCAAAAAGCCATCTACTGTAGGACGGTGGCAGGGCTCAGCGGTTGGACGAAAGCCGACCGGAGTTCTTTAAGGCTCTGGATGCTGTGGGCTGTCTTGGTTGACACTCCCCTGCAGCATCGCAGGAATATAGTGGGCAGTGCCCCTGGACTGGTAAAATGAAGGGGGGACAGAGGATTTGTTCCAATTAAACTCCTCAGCGTCCCTGATAAGGTCGATTTAGGTCTCATTGAATTGAATTGAATTGAATTGAAAGCCTTTATTGTCTGTTAGATAGTCTGTTAGATAGTGGAATCTTGACTGGAGGAGGAGCAGAGCTGTCTTCGCCCTGGCTGTGGATCAGTAGACCAACTCTTCACCCTCTTAAGGGTCCTGGAGGTGGCAGTGCAACCAGTCTACATATGTTTTTTGGACTTGGATTAGGTGTTTGACCATGTTCCCTTGGGACTCCTGTGTGGGGTTCTCTGGGAATATCGAGTACTGGGCCCTCTTGTTCAAGCTGTGAGGTCCCAGTACAACAAGTGCCAGAGTTTGGTCCGCATTGCCAGCAGCAAGTCAGATTTGTTTCAAGTGAGGGTTGGACTCCGCCAAGGCTGCCCACCCAGGTTATGGACGGAATTTCTAGGTGCAGCCAAGCATTGAGGGGATCCAATTTGGTGGCCTCAGGATTGGATCTCTGCTTTTGGCAGATGATGTAGGTCTGTTGCATTCATTGGGACAGTATCCTTAGCTATTGATGGAGTGATTCAGAGCTGAGTGTGAAGCGATTGGAATGAGGATCAGCAAGGAAATGCTTGGGGGACTATGCTTCAACTTTGGCTACAGCCCCCGCTAACAAATTCCAGATAAGCGCAAGAATTCACCTCTGGCTGCATGTCCTCCTGCCACAACATGTCATCTTGTCACAGACAATGCCTTCCTTGGAAGCATAAGAATGATATAGTGAAATGTCTCCTATGTCTCACTTTCCTTTGAGTGACATAGCTTAAGGTAACCCCTCCTTTATATCTGACTGTGGTCTCATCTTTTTTAAGTTAAAATACTCTGTATTGAATTCAAGGCTGTCCAAACTTTTTTCCTCAATTATGTATAAGCTTGTTGTATGGTATGGTTTAAAAATTAAGGATCCCCTGTTTCTTTTACACAAGACCTAGTGAAAGTGGTTCCTTTTGTCCAAAAGGCACACCCACTTCTTAATTAAGATAATAGACTGTTCAATTTTATTCTACTAAATTAAAACCCAAATGCAGCATTTGTTGTGTTGTTTTGTTCTTTATACTTTACAGAGAAACATCAGTAAACAAGACAACAAAGAAAGAGGGGAATTTGAATGTGAGCCTTATGATACTAAATTGTAATTCTCATTGGGTTATTTTATTTATTTTTCTGATCAAACCAGCTAAACATCAAAAGGGATAATGGTCCAGCAGTTTTTAAAGTTTTTAGAAATTGTCTATTGCTTGATATTGAAAGGGAAGCCTGGATGGCGCTTTAAAAAAAAATTACTGTTGGAAACAGGAAAAATAGCATGTGTTGTGCAACAGGCTCATGACTGTCGTACATGAAGGTCAGTAAACTTCATTACAGTGTTGCTTTGGCCTTTGACTTCAGAAAAGGGAGAACACGAATCAACATGGAATACACCCAATTATGACCTCTGCAGTGTTTACTCTGGTTTGTTGAAAGCCGTTTAGAATATATTGCACAACAGTGTCAAACCATATCAACCTATTCTTGATTACATCTGGGTGCCTGTTGTGTCACATGGATTATTAGGCTGTCAATTATGGCTTTCAACTAGGAAATCCTGCAGTGCCCTTTCAAAACACCAGCACTGTCATCCTGGTTGTGATAGTCTTGTAACAAATAGACAACTTTGCATAAATTTGATGTTTAAATGTTATTTCTTTTCTCCCTTAGGCCTTGTCTTTGATCGTCCTACCTTTTATTCCAGCATCCAACCTCTTCTTCCCTGTGGGTTTTGTTGTGGCAGAGAGGATACTCTATGTGCCCAGTATGGGATTCTGTGTCCTTGTAGCTCATGGATTCAGGATTGTCTCACATAAAGGGTGAGTCCCTCTGTTTGATTAGTCAATCAAGAGACATCCCTCTCGCCCCAAAACGACACATTCTGTTGTTCTTTTATTTAGATATTGGACTGAAATATACAAAAAATAATTGTATGATGAGAATGTTTATTCAGGATTTTTTTTATGCTTCTCCAGCTAAATAATGCAGTAAACTCCATTCCCTTTGCCAGAGGCAGCGATCCTACAGTGATGCAGTGGTCATCTAAAGTTATTGTCTAGTTTAGGGAAGTTTATAGAAAATTTGCAGGGCAGCCGGCACTATTTGGCATCCCTTATTCTTATCTCACAGAAGATAGGTTTCTTTTATTCAAAATGTCCTGCTCTATACTTTGACAGCAGCTCTGAATATTCCCAATAATTGGGTAGTTAAGGGAGGGTAAACACTTTATCTTCATTGAGACGTCATGCTTACATTGAGCCTAAGACAAAACTAGCCAAGTGGACCTTTTATATTTAGCAAAGTGTTTTGGCTTTACTTTTCCGCCACTATGACAAGCTCCTATTGAATACCTTTTCAGCTTCAAAGTATTCTGCCTCACCAAAATTAAAGTTTCTTTCAGCACCTTTTGCTTTGATTACAACATTCCTATCTATCCAGACTGTACAAAGTTTTAGCTGATGATGGGCAAATATTATGATTTTGAAAATAAAGGCTTTCCATATCTGTCACATTTTTAACAGTAATGATTCTGAGATCTTTTGTTTGGGAGTCTGGAACACTTGCCTGAAATTTCAAAATGACAACTAAAGGATTCACTGCAGATTACCCTTTAATTTTGGTGTTTATAATGCCAACATATTTTTAATCCAGTTTTGAAAACATGGCTGTCAATACTGTCGGGCCTTTGGTGTGTTTTTAATGGCAAATGTCTGCTATTTAAGAATATATTCTTAAAATGATCCTTTTGTAGACAACTGAAGAAGATTTCCTGGTTGCTGATTGGAGTGCTGTTAACTACACATGCCGTGAAAACCTTCAACAGGAACTGGGACTGGGAGTCAGAATACACTCTGTTCACTTCAGCTCTGAAGGTAAGAGTGTAAAGTGGCAAGCCTTACTTTCAAGAATGTTTGGCAGGTCTCCAAACATTCTACCACATTTAATCATCTTGCACTGAAAGCTTAATCTGTGACTCAATCAACTGTTAACTGATGGTGAGTTGCCCCATTCACTAAACCCTTGTTTCATTTCAGGTGAATCAAAACAATGCAAAACTGTGGAATAATGTTGGACACGCATTAGAGAATCAGAACAATTATGGGAGGGCGTTGCAGTATTTTCTCCAGGCCACACGCGTTCAGCCAGGTGAGAAACTTTCTTTGACATTAAAGAAATTACAGTTTACTTCATACAGGTGATGAATATTCCAATGTGCTTTGCCAAACTCAACCTGATACTTCACATATTGGGTTTTTGCTTGGTACTTTCCCTGAGTTTAAACCTCCTGGTCTTTTGGCACTTGGAGAATGTGTACACAAATTGTAGGATCAAACATTCATAAGCTGGGGGAAAATACCTATTTAGAACCATTAGTACCTGTTCAGCCCTACGCGGTTTGGCCCAGCACGGTTCTACACGGTTTAGGTGGTTTTCCATTACAAATGATGTCTGATGGGCTGACCGCCGTGTGACACGCAGCAACTAAATACTAACAAAACCTCAGTTTTGGACCCCTGTGTTCGTTTGTGTATTAGGCATTTATCTAATCATGTGACTCCCTGGTCAATCAACACCCAGATTCAAATATGCGATAAACAAATTGCTGCAACTTCAGACTTGTAGGGAGATAATGTTCAACTACAAAGCAGTTATTTATTTATTCACAACATCATGACTACATCTGTTAGAGCAGATGAAACAGCACCTGTTACAATGGAGCTAAGTGAAAATCGGGATGGAAAAAAGTGCCATGAAGTGATTTGTTCCAAAGTCAAACAGAAGTAAAGATTGTTTAGATAAACGTTGTTAAATAAGGGTACAACTTAATGCATATTAAGGTGTTTTGTATGATGACGGTAAAACCTAGTGACTTCATTCTGGAATTGATGAAAGAGATGGCTCTTTGATCTTTCCTCCATATGTGTAAAAGCCAACCTGTTGTTTGTAGTCCATCTATCATTCTTTTTAAACTCATAACTGCAGTTAAACAAGCTTCAATCAAAGTTTTTCCTCATTTTATGACAGAAAATGTTCTGGTACTCTCACTTTTCGGATTGCCTTCATCCACCGGTTTTTCAGGAAGTCTGCTATCAGCTGAGGCACTAACACCCATGTGTGTTTCTCCAAGATTAACAGTATAAATACATTAACCTTGTGAGGATTTCCTGCTTTCTAATCAGGATTCAGCTCTGCTTCTTCCAGCTGCCGCAGTGCCAGGCTGCTTTTAATCTTTCTCAGCAGGAATTATTTCTCATTTCACTATCCTCTTGAATAAACCCATTAATGGTCAGCTTTTGTACTACTGGTACTTGTTAGTCTGCATGATGATCTGTTCAAACACATTAAAACAGTTAAAGCATGTAGTGGTTGTGAATATCTGGATCATGCTACATTTGTCCTCCTTCTGTTCCATCTCTGTACGTGTGCTGTTGTTGCAGATGACATTGGAGCTCACATGAACGTTGGAAGAACTTACAAGAACTTAAACAGAACTAAAGAGGCAGAAGATGCTTATATGGTTGCCAAATCTCTCATGCCACAGGTAACTCCTTATCTCACATATCCTCCTGCCATGACAACCCAGTTCTGTTTCCACGTATTACTAATTCCTGATCTGTAAAGGTTTTTTTAGGTCACAGCCTTTAACTTTATGTGCGACTTTATGATTAAGACGCATCCTCAAAAGAGTATGTCACACAGAGGAGTTACTTGAAAAATAATATTTTCAACTAACTCCTTTTGGTTTTGGTTCTTGGATAGTTACTGAAAGTTTGGAAATACATGACACAATTACCACTTGCGGTAACTTCTACACTCACTGCGGCCCATTCATTACCCTGCTTTTCAAGTAGGAAGCTGAATCTGATCTTTATCATCAGGCGCTTTCACGTTCTGAAAAGTACCTGAACGTGGAGCAGGTTAAAAGATAAGCAGCAGGACCAAACTCCCACAACGTTGAGTCAAAATGAGTCAGCAGGCAGAAATATCAATGGCCCTACAAAGCTAATAACTAACGCCAATACTACTTTTTTAAAGCGGTTTTTAATACTTCTTCTATCCACCATTTTTCAATTCACTTGGTATCTCAGATGTTACAAAAGAAGCATGGCTAATTATGTATTTGTTGACCAAGATTATTCCAGGTAAGAAATATGCAACACGCGTGGCCCCCAATCATCTCAATGTTTACATAAACCTGGCCAATTTGATCCGGGCGAACGACTCCCGACTGGAAGAAGCTGATCAACTGTACAGACAAGCCATCAGCATGAGACCAGACTTCAAACAAGCCTACATCAGCAGGCAAGATGTTCTATGATTTATCCATTTGTCGTTTAGGCGTGTAATTCATGGTTGGAATAGAAAAGAGTACTTGATTGATTCCAAGAAGCTTTTTTTTTTGCAACATACAGAACCAGGAACAGATCTAAGTATTCTTTAATTCTTCTTTTTTATTACCAGAGGGGAGTTACTGCTGAAGATGAACAAGCTGACTGAAGCCCGCGATGCCTACCTCCGAGCCCTGGAGCTCGATCGCACCAATGCTGACTTGTGGTACAACCTGGCAATCGTCAACATCGAGATGAAAGACCCACCTGAAGCTTTAAAGAACTTTAACCATGCCCTGGAGCTCAACCCCCGCCACAAGCTGGCACTCTTCAATTCAGCACTTCTCATGCAGGAGTCTGGTGAGTTACAGGGAAATTTTGTTTCTGTTCTCACGTGCTGTAACTACCCTCAAGGATAAAAGAAACGCACCTCATTAATTCTCTAAAATTCCTCAAAAATATGCCTGCCATTTCAACATTTGAAACTATGAGTTAAGCACAAATTAGAATGACTGTTTTATTGTTTCCATTGATTTGATTTTGATGAGCAATAAAAAGTGTATTTGTGCATTTCTTACACAAGTCTGCTCATAAGTGAAACCTGATGACATGAGTTTACCGCTGGTCAAACGGGCACAGCCATTTCCTATACCAAGCCTCCAAAATGGAATGGAAACACGTTTATCAACAATACGACGATTGTTGCAACCCTAGCATCTGAACCAGGTTACTAGAGAAGAAGGTACACTTCCCTTAATCCTTTAAGGGAAGTGACATGCTGTAACCTTTTGGGTGTAACCAGACGCTGAAGAATTGTCCGTTATGTTGGAGTGAAACCTACGTGTAATGACTTGCTGTTTGTTGCCAAGTTTCTGTCTGGCCCAACTTTATGAGTTGAGTGACTGAAATAATAAGCAGTTTGACTCACAACTTGCTTAGCTGGAATTTCAAGCAGTTTGATAGCGTTCCAGTTAAATGGAAATGTGTGGTTCAACGCAGTTTTTTAGTCCATCTCTGAAGTAGCTGATCAGTGTGAAGGTCTTTGTCTGAGGTCTTGTGTACTTTCTGCATAATTCAGTTAGTATAATTATATTCCATGTGACAACATAAGGTAGACGTTTGTGTTTTTTTTTCCCTCTGGGAACTGTTTCTCCATTGTGTCTGTTTTTTTTCTAATAATTTTTTTGCTCCAAGCACATTCTGTGGTGGCTGGTAGTGCAATTATGGAACTTCAAGATTTTGTATAAAATACTAAATCAGATCTCAATCCTAAACAACAACACACTCAATCAATTATCACAATTTGAATCATGTTCAATTTAACCCTTTTTTATGTCAAGTTCTTCTGTAACTTTTAAATCTTTAGATTGTTTAAATTTAGTGTTGTGTTCACTAAAAAGAAAAAAAAACATAGTTTAGATAGATTTTGCTGGTCAAGTGTCTTTGCTCGAAGATGATTTTGAAAACATTGATATGAAGTATGTTTTTCTAAGGATGTTTCTCTGCCTCCTCATGGTAGGTGAGCCCCAGTTCTGGCCAGAGGCCAACCGCCGTTTTCTCATTTATGTGGAGGAGGAGCCCAACGACGCAAACGGCTACTTCAACCTTGGCATGCTGGCCATGGATGCTAATGAAAATGCCGCGGCTGAGCTCTGGATGCGTAAAGCCATTGGTCTGCAGGCTGGCTTCCGCAGTGCTCTGTTTAACTTGGCGTTGCTTTACTCTCAGTCCAAACGCGAGACGGACGCATTGCCGGTGCTCGACGAGCTTTTGAACCACCACCCAGAGCACATTAAAGGCCTCATCCTGAAAGGTGACATCCTCATGAACCACAAGAAGGACACAAATGGTGCTAAAGCCTGTTTTGAGCAAATTCTGCGAATGGACCCCACCAACGTCCAGGGCAAACACAACTTGTGCGTGGTCTACTTCGAGGAGCGAGACCTGCCGCGGGCCGAGCGCTGCCTGGAGGAAACGCTCGCCCTGGCGCCAAACGAGGAGTACGTACGTCGTCACTTGAGCATTGTCCGCAGTAAAATGGCTGCCATGAGTTCAGCAGGGCAGCCGCTTTCCTCAAGGGAGGGAGCTACCATTCCAGCCAAGGAAGAAAAGCTACAGGGAGTAAAGGAAGGAGAAGACTTTTTTGTTGGCGAGAAGGAAGGGAGGGGTGTTGGAAAGGGGGCTGGGGATGAGAAGAATCTGCGGAAATCCTCTACAGAAAGCCCCATAGGAGCGAGGGCAGAACACTCAGAATCTTCAGATAGTAGCCAGTCTGGCAAGCGGACTAAGGGTAAGTCCACTAAAGAGATTAAAGACATAGAGGAAAAAAGGGCAGCTGCCTTGAAGAGACTAGAGGAGATTGAACGCATACTGAGCGGTGATTGATGTTGTTGTCAATAGGACTACTTTTGTAGAGCCCCCCCCCATGTGCTCTGGGATGAGACTGCAGTCCTTCTACCCTACCCTTGAAAAAAATAAATAAATTGTACTCTCCCTCTCATGGAACTGAAGTTCCATTATGCGTCTGATTTTCTGATATTTGCAGGCTGCTCTGTGTGGTTCTGTTGTTTTAAGACTAATCATGTAATAAAGGGAAATATTCTGCTCATGAATTCCATGTAAAAACAAGCACAAAGCCAATTGGAAGTAATATATTTTAAAAAAAAAATCAAAAATAGATGCAGGATTGTGTCAGTACTTCATATGAATGTGATTTTTTTTCTTCTTTTTTCAACATATTATAGGTCTGCCGTTTTTATTTTTGTTTTTCCTCGTAAAGTCGTTGTTTATCACTGGATTTTTTTTCTATAGAGATGTAAGTCACTCCTCTGTTGTGCTTTTTTAAAAACAATTACTGTATGGAGAACAATTATAGGAAATGACGCTTTCCCCACATTTCCTTCAGGCAGAGTGATATGAGTGTATTTTGAGGCTCTGAATAAACCAGGCAGGGAAAAAAAAAACACTTCAACAACACAGAAAGCCTTTTCTGCTTGAATTTATAGATCTGTCTAGGCTCTTCTTACCCTAACATCATTGTCATCATCCAGCTGCCTGCACCTCAAAATATCACTGCCAACCCATTTACAGACTATTATCTCATTCCCTTTGTCACATTACCCCATGCCATTTTTTCCACGCCTCTTGTCCCATAGACACCGCAGGCTTATTAAAAGTGGATGTTTTTCTCCATAAAGTCACCCATAGACATCGCTTTGACACGGAAAACACCGCTTTACATGACGATCAACACACACTTTTCCTTAGCGCCGTGTGTTTTTGTTCCCTCTACACTTCCTTCAAGCTCATGAGAAACAACTTATTCCACAAAAATTCCACAACTCACTGCATTCACAACTGGGATTTGTGGAAGCAGAAACTTTGATCAGAAATGACTTGCAGTCGATGTCTGTATTTGTTGCAAACTTGAACAGGAAAGTTTACTAATTAAAGAGCTTGAAATAAATGCAAGAATTTCCTGTCCTGGTTCCACAAGCTTTGGGTTTTATTCTTGTCACTAAACCCCTATAAAACCTAACACCTGATTGGCTGAATCCCATTTAGTCTGATGGTTAAGAAATTATTTTCTCTGGCAGCGAATGAAAAACAAATTCTGCTCCTAAGCTCTCAGTAAGACGTTTTGTAGGCTGGACTTTAGCATGCGCTGCCCTGTAACTTGTGACTTTGGAGCAATGCATTCACTCATCTATTGTGTTCTTAAAGGTAAATGGGGCAAAAATGTAGTTTTCTTCTCAAAACTAACTGTTACATCTCCAAAGCTCCTTTGTTGTTCATGTTTTCTTTCCCTACAGGGCTGTGATTGGTCTCAGCACAATGAAATTACAGAGAAAGGCTGATTACTGAAGGCTAGGAGCGGTCGGGCAGTAAAAACTAGCTTTTCCATGCATTGTCCTGGTTGGCCCAAAATATCTTTTTACTTCATTTATTCAGGATTCTGTAATTAGTGTTATTTATTATTTTAGATTATATGCACTGTGGATTCTGTAGATCCTTGCTTTACATGTAGCTGTTTGCTTCATGGTACTTTATTCCATTAAAAAAAATATTGTAATAAGTAACAGTGTAATAAGTCAAGGTCAGTATTTTTTTTTCCCCTTCAGCAGTGTGAAACACTTATTGATCAATGATCTGTCCTGAAAAGATGGTACCGCTTTGGAAACGAAGCATCCACTTTGCTATATATTCAATTACCGTACTTCTGACTTCATTTTTTTGTATGGTTCACTTTTTATGCAGCAGCCCTTGGTGGTGGTTATTAAATAAAGTGATATACAATTTTTAAAAAGTCTAGGTTTTGTTTTGGTCTCTCTGCTGTAGAATTATGGTTGTATGGCAAAGGGAACAAAGACTACACGGTGGGGATTTTTACAACAGAAACATTGTGCCAGAAACATCAAATTTCCAGTCTTATAATATTCACATTTACTACGCCATCTACTACAACTATCTTCATCTTTTACAGTGACAGTGTACATGAGGAAATTAACAGAAATTAAAGGGGTTTTATTAAAAATGCTGTCTTAGTCTGGTTTCAACAAATACAATAAAATATAACAAATTATATATAAAAGTATTCTATTTGCAAATATTAGGAATCATATTTTTTTTCTTCTTTTTTTTAATGATACCAGTGTAAACAATTGTGAATAGACAAAGGCAATTATACTTTTTTGTAATTACTGAGTACAAACATTTCCTGGGGCAATCTCTTTCATTTTTAAAATGATTCAATCCCATATCCGGTTAAAAGTCTAAATATGCAGATCCATGTAATACCTACAATACACTCAAGGATAGGATGAAATTAAATTTTTTGAGGGAACTACACCTTTAAAGGTTTAGTAAACCACACATTTATATTTTCCATTTAGTCATAAACATGGCCCTGCGATGGACTGGCGGACTGTCCAGGGTGTAACATTGACCACTGGGTTAGGCTCCAGTTCTCCCCGCGACCCCATTAGGGAATAAGTGGTAACGTGATGGATAGATGGATGGATTTAATCATAAAAATGCAACAGAATTCCTTCATTTTTTATACCAGGTTGGAGCATATCCCAGCCAACAATAGGCGAAAGCATGGACTGGTCACCAACCACATACACCCCTAGTAGCAATTTAGGGTGTCCAATTAAATCATTAATGCAGTGGGAGGAAGTCAGAGTACCTGGAGAGAACCCACAAAAAAGAGAAAATGCAAACTCAGCTACGAAAATCAGAAATTTCCACAGGGTCTCGAACCAGGAGCCCTCTTACCATGAGGCAACAGTCCTAACTATCAGACCACCATATTCCACAGCAATTTGAATCTTTGTTTCAAATTCAATGCCTTAGCTTATCAATCTTTGACATAAAACCATCATCTGAATGTTTGGGGGCAGGCATGGTAGTGTGGTTAGCACCCTCGCCTCCCTGAAGGTTCTAGGTTCAGGTCCCAGGGGACCCAGGACTTTTCTGGGTGGAGTTTGCATGTTCTCCCTGTGTCTGCGTGGGTTCTCTCCAGGTTCTCCAGCTTCCTCCCACAGTCCAAAGACCTGCATGTTAGGTTGATTGGACATTCCAAATTGCCCTTGCCCAGTGAATGTGAGTCTGAGTGGTTGTTTGTCCTTGTGTGTCTCTGTGTGGCCCTGCGATGGACTGGCGGACTGTCCAGGGTGTACCCCGCCTCTCGCCCGTTGACCACTCCCCCGCGACCCCATTAGGGAATAAACGGTCACGATAATGGATGGATGGATGAATGTTTGGGTAGCCCAATGTACTCTGTACCATAGAGCTGTTTTTATCCAGATTCTCCTTAGTTTCTTTCTCTCTCCAAGTGTTACATCATTTGCTGACATTACAACTATCTGAGGCTATTTCACGTACAGTATTGAGAGGCCCAAACAAGAGCTATTGTTGATGGGACAAGAATCTTTGCACTCCGGGGGACAACAGGCTGCTTGACAAATAATATAATGGCTACTTTTAGGGTGGTTTTAAACTTTCAGATTTAGGTGGCTTGAAATCTGTTGTTGGCAGGGACATTTTCCAATCTCACTAGTTGAGGATGTCTAAGGAACAGCAGCATTATTTTTAAAAGAATTCTTATTTTAAATGGGTATCCAGCTTCCATTGCCTTCGTAGCAATTCTATTGAAAAGAGCTCGGTAGCAGTTGCAATTCCTGAGATATGGATTCAGTTTTGCAAAAATGGCACCATTGCTCCAGAATTGCACAGGGACATAATTTATCAGTAACTTATAAATTCACAGCCTGTTTAACCCTCTGCTTCTGCCACCTGCTACGAATCTGATTGTAAACAACTACAACCAAACAGTTTACAGAACTGCCCAGACCTGAACCTTCTCAAAGCGGGTGTGCCAGTAAGTCAGCTCACAGAAGTCCGACTGCTTCAAGTTCTTCATTCACCTCTCTCATGGACCGGATTGTGTCTAAACTTCTCATATGTAGCTGTGCTACTACATCCCCGCTAGACCCTGTTGCTACTCATTTTTTGCCAGTCCATAGCTCATACTGTAACAGCAGCAGTCACACATGTGATTAATGCTTCACAGACAGGCATATTTCGTATCTCAAGCAAGCTCGAGTTACATTGCTGCTCAAGAAACCTTCTCTTCCACCGACTCATGTGGAAAAATATCAGCCAGTCTGTCTCGGCCCATAAGTCTCTAAGACTATTGAAAAAGTAGACTTTAAGCAGGTCACAAAATATATATCACGAAACAATGTCCTTGATACAAACCAATGAGGGTTTAAAAGTGGTCAGACAAAGCTCTGCTGGCTATGACAGAAGCCGTAAAAGAAGCCAGAGCAACAGTTGAGTCCTCAGTACTCAATCTGCTCAACTTATCAGTTGCATTTGAAACAATTATGAAATCCTTCTTTCCATACTCTCTGGCATGAGCATCACATGGAGAGCACACTCCTGGTTTGAATTGTACCTCACTGATCCATTATTCAACGTATCCTGGCATGGTTACGCTTCTGCAGTGCACCATCTCACCACAGGGGTCCCCAAAGGTTCAGGACTGGGATTTCTTCTCTGTGCTTAAAACAACACCTCATTGGGCCAGATCATCCGATCACATGGCTTCCCATACCACAGCTATGCTGACGACATGCCACTCAACCACATGGTCTCAGCATGTATCTCAGACCGTGTCTCTGACATTTCAAAATGGATGAAAGCCCATCACTACCAGTTGAAGATCTCCAAAACTGAACTGCTTGTCAAATCAACAAACCATCAAAGTAAACCCAGGTTGTCATGACTGATGGTCAGCTGACCTATGTAGATCACGTTACATCTGTTGCTCGATTGTGTCTCTTCGCTTTACTAAACATAAGAAAAATCAGTCTGTATGTAACCCAACATGCCACCCAGCTCCTGGTACAGTCTATGGTTTTCTCCCACCTTTACTACTGCTGCACTCTCCTGATTTGTGTCCCAGTGAAACCTCTGCAGACTGTCCAGTTCTTAGTAGGGCTTCTAGTCTTCAATCAGCCAAAAAATCCCTTAGTTATCCATCTGGTCGCTGAGGTACATTGGCTACCGTTACCCGCCTGCATCAAATTCAAGTCACTGATGTTAGTCTACAAGTGCTTAAGGGTTCGGATCCTGTCTTCAAAGGTTTATCGCACAACTCGGTCACTCCGTTCATTCCTCAAAGGATTTTCATCAAGCAGTACCTATCCAGACTCTTTTCACGTGTTGTTCCATGATGGTAGTATGACCCACCAAGTGCTACAAGAACAGGGTCGTCCCTGTTTTTCTTTAAGAAGTTCTAGAAGATCCAGCTCTTCGGAGAACATTTCATATCCTAACACTTAACTCATCTATTTTACTTGGCTTTCAACACCAGCGAGATCTAGTTTAAAGTGTATGTCTTTGTTTTTGAACTACTTTTATTTTGTTGTGTTTTTGGATTGTACAGCACTTTGTATCAACTGTGGTTGTTTTAAAGTGCTTTATAAATAAAGCTGGTATGGTATGGTATGGTATGGTACATCCCCAACCTTTCTACTGTTCTCTTTCTGTACTTCCCTCTATCTCTACAGTGTCACCACTGTCGCATTCAGTGCATTTTTCCAGTAGCGTCTGCTCAGCCATGGTTTTCCATTACAAGCAGAAAGACGGGCCGACCGGCGTGTGACATTATTTATACATGGCACAAGCACAAGACAACAAGCAAAGACATTGTGGCGACTATGAATGACTAAACTTCAGTGTTTGTTCGCGGTGTTGGTTCATGTATGAACCATTTACAACGTTTATGATCACAGAAATAATTCAATGTTGCCTCGTTTTAAAAATAGGCAGTTTGCCATCGGCCCTACTCAGCAGTTCCTATCAGGGCTGAGTAGTGCCGATGACAGACTGAAGTTGTAACTTTTTTGCCGGGCCAGTCCATTGTGGATATGCAGAAATACCATGTAGAGCCATGCCATGCCATGCCATGCAGCACTGAATAAGCACTTGTGGAATTGCACAATTACAGAGTCTGACAAGTGATTTCCTTCAATGTAGCTAAACGTTAACTATGATGCTGACTAATTTTGTATCGTCATTATAAGTAGCTCTGGATAAAAGCTTCTGTTTAATGCATGAAAATAAATCAGTAGAATTGTATTGTTCTGGTTCTAGTAATGCTTTATCAGGGATGACCTCTCCAAAAAAACTAAAATCAAACTGAATCAATGTAGTGAGTCGGCTGATGGAAAAATCAAAGCATGGTAATATAGCCACAACCCCCTGGTTGTGGCTGTCGGGAGCTTCATCTACACAGCAGACCTTTGGAAACTCTGAGGAGGGTGTTTAACCACTAAGCCATAGGCTTATAACTATTACAAACACTAAACCCCTTGTCAATCTGCCGTTTATTGCACGTCTTCGTTAATCCTTTTATTTCAAACTCTGTGTATCATATCCGACATTGATTTTGTAGATCTATTGCCAAAATTCACTCTTTTCTAATTATAAAAACATATTTATCTAATTAACTCAAAAAACGCACGTTCTTTCTTTTGCCTATTTTTTTAATATTTAGTAAAAGAGCCAAAACAGGACTTAAAATGAAAAGAAAATCTGTTTCCATTTTGGGTCAGACATTTTAAGACTAAAATTGAACCACCATGACAGTTGATTTATAACAAGAACCTCTACAAGCTGGATGCAAATAGTTTGACAAATATAAAAAACACTCATGTCTATATTCTGAATTGATTTAGTTTGGCCTGGTTTCATATCATTCTTTAAAGTATATTTTACTTTTTATTTTAGCGAAGCACAATTTTGTAGCACAAGTTGAATGCAACCATGTGTTGACTTGAACGTAGATTTATAAAGCTTAAGTCAACTG